TTTTAAATCAAAATAACTGGTTTTGTAATAATTGAAGTGAGTTCTTTATACGGAACAAAAACGTAAATTATTTTTGTCAAACAAAATTTAAATTTGACGACATTTAATATTATATTACTATATATAAAACACTTAAAGAGAATGCCGAGCCTCTACGATCAATAAAACACAACTCTTTAATAAAGTAAACATACTGTACAAGAAACAAATGTGGTTTACATAACAATATTTTTCTTTACAGCGATCCATTAACCGATTACCTGTGCTGGTGATGACGGAGATAAGAATACAAAGTGTCATCACTTCTTTTCATCACTTGGATGTCGTAAAAGGCAGTTAACAGATCAAAATATAATACACTTGTGAAAAATAATGAATGTTTTAAAAATAAACGTTAATGGCATATGTCCCTTACTGATGACAATGTTACGACCATATCACATTTATTACTGCAAGTTTTTGAAACATTTTCTCCCACGAACGCTCAGGCTGTGGACAGAGCTACCTACTAACTTGTTCGCCACATTTGTGGTATAAAAAAAAAGACAGTAAGTTTTTTTTTAGAATGGCAAACAAGCTGACGGCCCACCTGATGGAAAGTGATAACCGTCGTCTATAGACGTAAGCAGTACCATGGACATAACAGAGTATACTGTTTCGCCCATGATACCTCCCATGCGTTGCCATCTCTGAGGATTCAGGTGTTATTCCTCTGAACCCTATAAATTCACTGCCATATCCCACCCTTCAAACTAAAACACAGCCATGCAAACACAACTGCTTTACGGTAGAAACACGAATCGGACAGAGGTGTCCAAGCAAACGCCTTTTGTACAAAAACTCCCTCTGGTAAAGGGTCCTCTTCTACCTCTAAGCAGCAGCTTACATAGTTATATTTCTGTTTAAAGGGTGGGATATGGCAGTAAAATTATAAGGTACGCAAGCAGAACATCTTAGTTCTCAGGAATGATAATGCGTGAAACATATCAAAGTAACATTTTTATCGATAAAAAGTACCGATTTATTCAATTTTTCTATTGTACAACATGTATTTCTTTAATCGATTAAATCGCATATTTAAATCGATATTATCGACAAACCTATCGATATTTAAACAATTGCAAATGAACTTTATCGATTAATTAATCATCGATTTATTAGGTAATCTTACGATTATCGTTTCTCTTTTATTACTCACCGTACTCGATATCAAATTGGCGATTGTCTCGCGCGACCGGTTGCGACCCATTATAATATCTACTAAGATAAACTGGCTGATAAATTTGATGGAGTAAGACCTGATAAGGAGCTGCTTACTGCTTACTGTTCAATTACACTAGTTTTTTTTTATGCAACATCGAATGAGAAATAAGCTGAGGGCCTAACTAATGGAAAGTGGTACCCGTCGCCTATAGACTTTATGTCTATAGGTGACAGTACCATAGTCTATGGGTGGGTAATAAATACATATTTATAATATATTTTAATTGTAATATATCTATATGTTGATCAAATAACGAATACTTTAAAAATCACTCACATAATACATAATAACGATATGTGGAACACTATCCTACCCTACCCGGTTCTCCAACGTGCTGTTTTTCAAGGCACTTTCTTCCACGTACAACCACTGTTTGGAATCAACTTCTACCAGCAGTGTTTCTGAACCTATACGACATTAAAATTATTATCCGTTGATATACCCGAGTCTGTTTGTTTTAGGCATGGTGGGATACAGCAGACTGGCGGTGAGGAGAGATCTCGCTCCTGTAAAATATGTTGTGAGTGTGTCACGCGGATGGATGCATCACCCACAAGTGCTAGAGACAGTCCAACTGCGAGTACCAAATGGTTAAATTGTCACATTATTATACACTGCTGTATCCGCTGACATTGATGCTCCTTTCCACTTTGGGTGTTGCTGGAAGAAAACTCTATCGGAGTTAAGCTCGCCTTTGTACATTTGATTACCTCTGTCATATTCTTGTAACTGGTGTGTACAATAAAGAATTAAATAAATAAATATATTATTATTAAATATATGTTTATCTATTATGTTTATATAAATATTGTTGTGCATTATAGTATAGGTAGATAGCCTACAGATTAACAAAGTCTGTATTCTATTTCATTACCTATATTGTCTGCTGCACAAAGGTTTCTCCCATTTCCTTCCAAATTTCATTATTGTTATTTTTTTTTATAATACAAGGAGCAAACGAGCATGCGACTCACCCGATGGTAAGTGACTATCACCAGCCATGAGGAACCGTTGTTTTTCTAATATTCTAGAAATATTGTAAGTATGCTGTCAGCTTTTTAAAAAGAAAAATGCTGTTTTCTTGAAGGTTATCACGTTGTATCTGTTCGGAAATACTGATGCTGTAAGTTTATTCCAAAGAGTGGTTGTGCGTGGAAAAAAGTGCCTTGAAAAACGCACGGTGAAGGACTGCTACTCCTCCACATGGTTGGGATGGAACTTTAGTTTGTGGCAGGTTAAACGATGGTGAAAATCAGTATTAGGTATTAATCCGAATAATTCCTCGGAACACGCTTAGTTATCGTCAGTCAATCATTATAAATTACCAGAGGGAGACTTTGTATAAAAGTCGTTTGTTTGAGCACCTCTAACCCATTCGTGTTTCTACCGTGAAGCAGTTATGTTTGCATGGCTGTGTTTCGGTTTGAAGGGTGGGATATGGCAGTGAGTTTACAGGGTACAGAGGAATAACACCTGAATCCTCAGGAATGGCAACGTATGGGGGGTATTATGAGCGAAACAGTATACTCTATTATGTCCACGATACTGCTCATGTCTATAGGTGACGGTTATCACTTTCCATCAGGTGGGTCGTCAGCTTGTTTGCCATTCAAAGTTACATAAAAAAATACCTCCAGGTCATTACGTTATCGCCTTTTGCATCATCTGTCGCTATTTATCTAAACGGCTGAACAAGTTTGAATGGAATTTGGTACATAGATAGACTATAAGTCTTAGACATGAAATATTTCATGTCTCAATTCATGCGATATATAACTAGCAATCAATAGATAGGTTGATCTACTAACGTTTTTCGAAATTATAGGAATTTGTAAGCACAATTATATATACCTAGCTGACTCCTAATTATAGTCCTATAACTTATATACAATCCACGATCTAACTTTAAACGGAATTAGCATCTTATTACCAGATTTTTTTTATATCTATAATAACGAGATTGGATAATTACGATGCTAACCGCATTGTGGGTAGCGAGAACAGAGTAATTTGATACGAAATTATATGCTGCGGTTGCCGAAGGCTATGTCTGTCCGTCCATCCATTTACATTAATATAATTTACTTTATAAAGCTTTTTATTTTTACCTGACAGACAAAAGAGGCTTTTGTATCTACATATATAGGCAACTTAGAATGGCATATAAGCTAATGCAAAATGGTAACTGTTTGCTAACTAACTTATATAATAAATAGCAGTATATACAGTGTAAGTATATAAGGTATAAGTATAAATATAAGGTGTAAGTATATAAGTATATAAGCAGTATATAAGGGTGTAAGAGACTGATCGGCAAAAACTGAAACAGTGAAATCAGACTATTATTCTGAGTTGAAAACTAGTGGAAATCCTTTTCAGAAATCTTCAAACATTTTCCTTTTTTTTATTACATTTAAATTGATGTAATCTATGATATTATGTTATAATACAAAGACACAATATTTTTTGATGAAATACCAAAAACCAGCAATGTAATATTCATACGAAAATCCTAACGTGACGCGCGGAATTAGCTGTGTAAGGTTAACGCAACAAGAGTTCGAAAACTACCCATGAAGCGTCAGTGATCGGGCGATACCTACGTATCACGCGTCGTGTTGATCCTAAAATTTCAAATACATTGCGCGTTGGCCAAAACTAAGAATCTTTAATTATATGGCTGTGGCGCATTTCTGATGCGAAAACAGTCTGCCATTTGATTCAGACCATTTATCTGAATCAGCTATTTTCGTTTCAGCCAACCTGTCCCTTCCACCCTGTATAGCCATGTATTTTACAGAATAAACTACAATGCTTATTTTTTTTTATACAACTTAGAATGGCAAACAAGCTGACGGCCCACCTGATGGAAAGTGGTAACCGTCGCCTATAGACATAAGCAGTACCATGGACATAACAGAGTATACTGTTTCGCCCATGATACCCCCAAGCGTTGCCATTCCTGAGGACTCAGATGTTATTCCTCTGTACCCAGTAAATTCACGCCCACCCTTCAAACCGAAACACAGCCATGCAAACACAGCTGCTTTACGGTTGAAACACGAATGGGACAGAGGTACCCAAGCAATCGACTTTTGTACAAAGTCTCCCTCTGGTTTAAACATTTAAATAACATTTAAATCTTATTACTATTATACCAATATATTATACAATATTAAATTTTTCACCGCATAATCACATTTCTGTTTTGCCAAACGTTGACTAAGAGAGAATGCTATATAGTATTAAGTCCGCCTTTTGTATCCGACTTTTTTTTAATGTAGTCATACAATGTGATTTCTGAAGACATATGGATGAATAAATCGGCATAGAATAGGGCGTCCCTTTCTTTCCCGTGGACGTCGTAAGAGGTCCACTGCTGAACATAAGCCTCCCCTTTGAAGGGTTTTGTCAGTAGATACCACGCTTGGCAGGCGGATTTGCAACCGCAGTTAGGCTTTAGAGATGTTTTAATGGAGATTTTGCTGCCCAACCCTCGCCATCTCTTAGTCGCCTCTTACGACACCCATGGGAATGGAAGAGTTGGCCAATTTTATGCTGGGACCACATGGCAAGTATAGGCTTCTATGTATTTAGAATATATTTAATGTGTAATTATTTAAATATTTATTTTTTCATATGAATTTTATAACGTGACTAGTATTATCGTACAATCGTAATAAAAAAGTTAATTATAACAAAGGTCCTTGATCTCAGCATTGTCAATCCATTCGTATCAATCTGTGTTCTTTGGTGAAGTCTTTTTCTTCTGTAATAAATCCTTTTTCAAAAGGAATCCGCATCTAGAACAAGTATAATCAAATCAAAGAAACATAATAGCTTCAAACAATATTCTGTTAATTTAATAACTTTCATATGAAAATTATAAAACATAGATATCTCCCTGTTCCTGCCCTTTTCCCAAATCTATTTGGGGTCAGTGTAATATTTTTTTATGCAACTTAGAATGGCAAACAAGCTGATAGCCCATCTGATGGAAAGTGGTAACCGTTGCCTACAGACATGAGCAGTACCATGGATATAACAGAGTATACTGTTTCGCCCATGATACTTCCCATGCGTTGCCATTCCTGAGGACTCAGGTGTTATTCCTTTGTACCCTGTAAATTCACTGCCATATCCTGCTCTTCAAACCGCAACACAGCCATGCAAACACAACTGCTTCACGCTTGAAACACGAATCGGACAGAGGTACCCAAGAAATCGACTTTTGTACAAAATCTTCCTCTGGTGTGAACAGTTCGTTGCCACTTCAGCTTGCTTATCCATCGGGCTATATAAGAGCCAAAGTAAGAGACTTTGGTTCTTTTGCGGATATTCTCGTTTCGGATTTGACCACACAAAGAAACTTCGTAGCTGTCTCCAAATTACAAAATAGTATGCATTGTATAATTACCTTAACGTAAAAAAGTACACGATTTCAATGAGACTGAGAAAGGAAAAGCCAAGAAAGAGTCCAAGTAGCCCGCCGCAGTTGGCCAGGAAATCTGTCAGTCCAAACAACTCGGAACGTCGCATCGACACGAACTTCGGTTCTTTGAAGTGCAACTTTATTCTTGAATACTGAAACCTTTTAAAGATCAATTATTTAAGTGGCTTCTTAAAAGAGGTTTACATTTTTATGCTGGTATGTTAAAAGATTATGCCGCCAATTTTGATAGTGTCTACTCCCGTATTGGCTGGGAGAAAGGGGGTCTAACTGATCCATTGCCTGCAATACATCCTATCAGGTCGACTTTCTCTTGGTTCGCTCTGGAAAACATCGTGATTTATTCTATTTCGTTGATGGGCTAACGGACCTGCTTTCATCCTCACCGATCATCGCTCATTGGTGTCTTGCCAGTGTATAGTGTTAGCGCAGGCGGGGCTACCATTTCATTATCACCCATCAAAAAAAGTCTCGTATTGGCTTTATCCTTTTGGGATAATCGCAAATACTATTTATTCTTTGCGCATCAAAAATAACTGCTTGGTTTTAAACAATATCTATTCAAGCATATACACTATTACACATTCTAAATTTATATTTTTCGATATAATGTGTCTATAAAACATCTTGTCGTTCATCGGTAAAGCAGTCACTTCTTTTTCCTGCCCTCTTTCTATATCTATTTGGGGTCAGTTCGATGAGGGTGGGTTGACAATGATGATGTTTATATTACCCTTCAATAAATTTTGACAGATTGTTGCTTCTGATTGTCTCAATTTGCTTCAATATATCTTTGAAGTTATAATCCGATATGACGCTATAAGCATCGTACTCCGTCGAATCACAGGTCGGCAAGCAAGAGCACGGATCAGAGCCTTCGTCTATGAATTGGTCGATTACTCGTTTTGCAAAATCCACTGCAAAAAGTATATATAATTTACCTCATATATATATATATATATATATATATATATATATATATATATATATATATATATATATATATATATATATATATATATATATATATATATATATATATATATATATATATATATATATTTATTATTGGATCATGCTGTGTGCACATGTTGTGGCAAGTTTACCTGATCAATACATTAATGTACTTGCATGTTATAGTTTAAGTTTGTACTTGTATGTATGATATATATATATATATATATATATATATATATATATATATATATATATATATATATATATATATATATAAATAAACAAATATCTCCAAATTAATATAAGTACAGTAGTCATGTATTTTAAAAGAATAATTATTAAAATTTAAAAAGAATACTAACCACGAGCCATTCCAATACATTCTGCTTGTTCGCTTGTACAAATTGACTGACTGTCGTAATCTGTAAAAAGAAATTATTCACTCTACTAACTTTTGCACGTGAATATATACGTTACCGGCATATGTTTACTGACATTTATGATTTTTGCCTAGTAATTCATACACATGGATTTAATGTAGAAAAAGCCAATGAAAAGAATACACCATGTTTAGACAGCGTATTAAGATAAAATACACACCAATTATTGAGTTAGAAGTTCAGGACTTAAAATTCAAATATACAAACAGATAGAAAAACCAGAGGAAGATTTTATACAAAAGTCGTTTGCTTGGGTACCTCTGTCCCATTCGTGTTTCTACCGTGAAGCAGTTGTGTTTGCATGCCTGTGTTTCGGTTTGAAGGGTGGGATATGGCGTGAATTGACAGAGTACATAGGAATAACACCTGAGTCCTCAGGAATGGCAACGCATGGGGGGTATCATGGGCGAAACAGTATACTTTATTACTGTATACTTCATTACTATTTTTTATGCAACTTAGAATGGCAAACAAGCTGACGGCCCACCTGATGGAAAGTAATAACAGTCGCCTACAGACATGAGCAGTACCATGGACATAACAGATTATACTGTTTCGCCCATGATACCCCCCATGCGTTGCCGTTCTTGAGGACTTAGGTGTTATTCCTCTGTACTCTGTAAATTTATTATATTTAAAAGTGGACGGTTAACGGTTGATATCATGACAATGATGATGATGTCTAGTTATAATTTTATTACATTAGTATGTAAGAATACTCACGAGGCATATAGAAAGCTACACAGCCACATTTTTCATATGTGACATTGGAATGACACTCCAGCATACAGTTGCTTGCTGTATAAATATTGAAATAGTATAATTTCCTCTCTGATGGAAAATAGCATTGTCGGCTGAAAAGAAAATTTATTTATTTATTTATATGCTTATGTACATTCACTTATAGTATAGATATAAGCTTATTACAAAAATATACACAGGCGTACTTATCCCTTGAAGAGATTTCTTCCAGTCAACCTTGAGAACACGAAAGGAAAAAGTGTTTATAGGTATGTATATAAAGCATAACATATATAGTGAAAAAAGAAATGAATATGACAAATAATAAATTATTATAGTTAGTACCAGGCTATATATATATATATATATATATACATACATACATAGAGACATGTATAAATATAGCTAAATATATATAAATATTGGGTCCTTGATACCTTATTATATAATGGCAACGCATGGAGGGTATCATGGACGAGACTGTATATTCTGTTGTGTCCATGGTACTGCTTATGTCTATAGGCGACGGTTACCATTTTCCATCAGGTGAGCTATCACCTTGTTTGCCATTCTAAGTTGCATAAAAAATAATAAAAAAAAAGATATAGGACATTTTTAGCCCGATCAGTAAACATATACTGGTAACGTAAACGAAGTCGCATGTAAAAACTAGTATAAAATGAATGTAATTAGTAGACATACGCTTTGGGACTGTAGTCTATTAAGCTGTTGGTAGTTGTGATCATTTGAAACTTGAGCCCCAGCGACGTAGCCCGCCTTGGTGATGCCGAGTGGAAGTACTGAGATGCTTGGGGCAGATCTGCTGGGTGTTGCACGAAAATCTAAACAGATAAACATTGTTTTATACTAATTACTCTGCGTGTTCTACCGCTTGTACAACGGATTGTGCTCTGAGGAATTATTCAATATGATGCCTACGGCCACTTTCTATCATCGTACGGCTCGCCATCGACAGGGAGTTCAGCCTCATACCCTACAGCCTAAATGGTCGCGTACAACGCGGTTTCAGAGATGTTTTCTCCCACGAAAACTCCGGTTATGGAATGAGCTCCCTGCTGAAATTTTCCCAAGAGGCTAGAGCATGGGGTTCTTCAAAAGGGGGGTAAAGAGGCTTCTTCAGGGTCGGCAACGCGCGCGCAATACCTCTGGTATTGCAAGCGTTCATAGGCTACGGTAACCGCTTACTATCAAGTAGGCCGAATGCTTGTTTGCCACCTCAGTGGTATAAAAAAAATTTGCGTGAGTCGCAGCCGAAGGACTAGAAAACCAGCGTATCTTCGAGTTTGCCTTATCAGTTTCACTTTCTTATCAGATTTCACAAGGTCTCTTCTTCATGAGGACAATATCAAATTGTTATTAATATGGTGCGCGGTAGTACAGATAGCAGGGGGGAAAAGGATTGTTAGTATTGGGGTTTTACTGTCCCATTGCTAGCAATACACCTTAATCAGGTCGAGCACCACGCGGTTCCCCCTGGAAACCATCGTGGGTAATTCTAGTGCAATTCGTCACGATGGGCTTATTGACCTGCTTCCATCGTCACTTATCATCCCTAACTGGTGCCCCGCCAGTGTATACCGATAGCGCAGGCGGGGTTACCACTCCATTATCAACCATTAAAATTACGGATGGCAGAGCGTTTCTCTAGTTTAACCAAGTGTTGGTTGGGCGCTCATATTTATAGTTAACTGTGACCATTTTAGGTTATGTGTACCAATCTTGTTTGCCATTTGCAGTAGAATTATAAGAAACAGGTAAACCTACTTTGAAACCTTTATTGACGATGTTGCATAAGCGGTCATGGTCATCATCAGGTACTTTAAGTATGATGTCCAATTCGGGTAAATGTCTGGAGTCCTGAAATGTAAAAATTGATTTATTAGGTAATTTTTATGAAATATACAAAATATATTGTGAATGTAATAAATGACTAGCTGAAACCCGCGGTATCACTCGTGATTCGGTATTAAATTAGGATTTAAACTACACATGTATAAATTTTCGTTCGAATCCAGAGGGAGACTTTGTACAAAAGTCGTTTGCTTGGACATCTCTGTCCCATTCGTGTTTCTACCGTGAAGCATGTATGAAGTGTTTGCATGGCTGTGTTTCGGTTTGAAGGGTGGGGTATGGCAGTGAATTTACAGGGTACAGAGGAATAACACTTAAGTCCTCAGGAATGGCAACTCATGGGGGGTATCATGGGAGAAATACTATACTCTATGTCCATGGTACTGCTCATGTCTATAGGCGACGGTTACCACTTTCCATCAGGTGGGTCGTTAGTTTGTTAGGTTGTAGGTACCATGGACATAACACAGTATACTGTTTCGCCCATGCGTTGCCATTCCTGAGGACTCAGGTGTTATTCCTCTGTATCCTGTAAATTCACGCCATATCCCACCCTTCAAAACAAAACACAGCCATGCAAACACAACTGCTTCACGGTAGAAACACGAATGGGACAGAGGTACCAAAGCAATCGACTTTTGTACAAAGTCTCCCTCTGGTAAAGTACAGTTAAAGTAGGTTTGTAGAATTTTTAGTTTTTATGTTTAAGTGGGTCATTAAATATTTCGATTCACCATTCCTCGTCGTGGGTATGGATCAGAATCTCTAGAGTAGCCTTCCGTTAAGCTCCAACCATGGCTTAATCTTGTAGACGTACTGTAGTTGTAGTCCTTCTGTATACTGAAAAAATATCTGATTATTACATTGTATGGTAAAAGGAATGGCTAAAACGAGTTAAAGTTTATTTTAATTATTTATTTATTTAATTCTTTATTGTACACACCAGTTATAAGAATATGACAGAGGTAATCAAATGTACAAAGGCGAGCTTAACTTTGATAGAGTTTTCTTCCAGCAACACCCAAAGTGAATAGGAGCATCAATGTCGGCGGATACAGCAGTGTACAATATTGTGACAATTTTTAAACAGACAAAATTAAATTAATTATATTATATTTAATTGTACAAATACACATATACATATACATAAATACATACCTACATCTATGCATATATTTACACACACATACACTTATACATACACATACACTTATACATACGAGTTAAAGTTAATTGTTATTTTGTATTTATACATCGTAATAATATTGCTCCATTAGTGCCCTACTGCTCTTTTTATAGCATATTATATCTTTTAATGAGAGTTTATATAAATTATTATTATTATATGTAATTTATCTTTTAATGTCGCCTTAGTATTCCTTAGTATTTAGGTTTTTGTTAAATTTTTCCTTCTTCTCAATATTTTTATACTACTGAGGTTGCAAACAAGCATACGGCCCACTTGATTGTAAACAGTTTAAATAGCCTATGAATGCCTGCAATACATTATTGTACTGTTCCTAAAGATCTCTATTTGTTTTCTATAAATTATATGTAGTCTATTTGACTGGCTGATAATGAAGCTTTATTTTAAATCGGTTGACTAACTTTTGAGTAAACCTGTTACAAATAAACATAAATACTAAAAATTATTGTTTCTTTCTTATTTCTAATATTATTATAGATTTTACCAGAGGGAGACTTTGTACAAAAGTCGATTGCTTGGGTATCTCTGTCTCACTCGTGTTTCTACCGTGAAGCAGTTGTGTTTGCATGGCTGTGTTTCGGTTTGAAGTGTGGGATATGGCGTGAATTTACTGGGTACAGAGGAATAACACCCGAGTCATCAGGAATGGCAACGCATGGGGGTATCATGGGCGAAACAGTATACTCTGTTATATCCATGGTACTGCTCATGTCTATATGTGACGGTTACCACATTCCATCAGGTGGGTCGTCAGCTTGTTTGCCATTCTAAGTTGTATAAAAAAAATTAAGAAATTTATTTACATTTAATTTATTTAATTAAATTTATGTTAACTAATTTATTAAATGCAAGTTCTTACTTATCAGTGTTGAGTATTTCGGTGGTTGCTAGCGAGTTAAAATTAAAACACACTCCCTCATCCGTCAGAACGGTGGAAAATAGATCCGTACAAGGAACTGTCGAGTTTCCGCGCCAGGAGCAAATAAACATATAGTCTTCTATCGTGGGTGATACCTGAACCAAACGAGTCGGTTATGTCCATGGTACTGCTCATGTCTATAAGCGACGGTTACTATTTTCCACCATGTGGGCCGTCAGCTTGTTTGCCATTCTAAGTTTATAGAAAAAAAAAATTCCTGACGCTGGTGGAATCTTATTCATCATCATATCAGTCCTGTCCATTTAACTGTCCACTGCTGAACATAAGTCTCCTTTAAGGGTTTTGCCAATAGTTGGTAACTTGGCAGCCGGATTGGCAACTGCAGTTAGGCTTTGGAGACTTTTTAAGAGAGACGCTGCTGCCCATCCGTAGCCCTCCCTTAGTTCTCTTACGACATCCACAGGAAAGGAACGGGTGTCTAAGATACCTATTAATACCTATTAATAAAATAAATTCGAAAGTTTTTAAGGAGTTTTGATGGATGGTTTTTTTAATGGATGATTATGGAATGGTAACCTCGCCTACGCTATCGGTATACACTGGCAGGGTACCAGTGAGAGATGATTGGTGAGGATGAAAAGCCAGGTCAGTTAGCCTATCGTGACGAATTCAATGATAAATTAGTTACGATGGTTTCCAGGGGGAACCGCGTGGAGATGGACTTCATAGGGTTTATTGAGAGCAATAGGGATTAATTTTTCCATTATTAACAACCCTTTCCCCCTATAAAGGATGAAACGCGAGCGCGAGTCTGACTGCTTCACAGCCGCTCATGACTTAGAATCATAGATCGATCCCGAAACTAGTCGAGTTTTCTGGATCTAATTACATGTAAGTTGAACAAGTAGATATTAAATTAAAATAAAATGTTATTTGATTAGAATTATTTCGAAAATTGACTTAAACATTCCATATTAGCCATCAATCTCCGACTGCCATTTTGTTCACGCACGTTTTACCAAAACGTGCGTGGGTAGTGAAATGAATTAAAACAATTATGATCAAATAACCAATGATATGGATTTTCGCAAGATAAAACCTAGTTCAGTAAAATACTTATAGATTATAGACAGGAAATAAATATTGCGTTACCTCTAAAAAACTGCGGATAACCGACGCATTTGAAGTTTTACGACCGATTTTAAAATCGGACAACACGTCGTTCAGTTGGCATATTAGACTTATGTCTTGGAGTTTTATTCTCGCTGCTTCCACTTCATCTGTTATATTTACACTAAACAAAATAACAAAGAATTTTATTACTTTGTTTAAATTTGTAATTCAATAGTTTTATTGTTTAAAGATTCATAATTACACATTATATTATTATTAAAAAATTAAAATAAGCAAGCAGCACCACAACCAGTCAAGACACCACAGAATATTAATCCTTTATTTTTTATTAATTTACGTATATTTTAGATGAGAACGCTCAACTAGTTTTAGGAAGGCGCTCGCATTTCGGCCACCCATGACTAAGGATTCCGGATGGTCCCGAAACGAATCGAGCATTTTCGACTAAAGTGCACGTAAATTTATTAATTTATTTATTAAACTCAAGAAATGTACAATGTGAGCACACGCACTAGGCGAACCTGTATCGCGGGAGTCAATAAAGGATTACGAAGACACAGTATTTTAGAAATATAGATCAGTGAGTCAATTTTACGGAAACAGACACGATAGAAGGACATCGTTAACTAATATAAAAGTGCTTCGTAAAGACATGTGTAAAAAACCGAAAATTATTTGATAACTTTTTAATATTACATAAATAAATACATATACAATATACAAATATCAATAAATGTTATAAAAAATTAATCCAATTGTTCTTAGATTAAAATTCAATAGTTTTTTTTAATTGTTATCAATATGACTATTTCGTATTTACAGTATCTTTTTTTGCAGTGTAATAAATAAATTTGTGAATAATAATATTATTTTACCTGTCTATAAAGTTTTTAATAAATTCCTTTGTAAAATTATATACTGTAGCTCTTGTTTTGATTTCCGGACAAATAGTTATAGATGGAAACGGTACCTGAAATTGTTTTTTTTTTTTTTTTATAATACAGCGGGTAAACGTACATGCGGTTTCTAGTAAGTGACTACCATCGCTTATAAGTACTTACTCGAAATACCGAAGGAATTGCGGGTATGCCGCCGGTCATTAAAAAGAAATATGCATATTTGCTCTCGACAAATATTTAAGAAAAACAATAGAAAACTATATTTTGATTTTTATTAGGTTCCCTTACAATACCCACGGGAAAGGAAGGAATGGCCCATTCTATGCCGGGACCACGCGACGATGTATAAGAACATAGTTGGATTAATATATATCTGTGATTGATATTATTTACATTATTGTAATATTTTATTCTTTATTTTATACAATTCGGTGACTAGCTCGTATACATTCTTTTCTCTGTTTTTCTCAATATACATTTATATCTCAAAAAAAAAAAAAACTATTTACTTATTTATTTATTTATATTAGAATCTCGATTATCCAGATCGAATAAAACTAAGCATATTCCATATAATCGAAAATCCGGATATTCGATATCGAAGTCACATCAAACAATAATAAAAAAAAATATCTTTTTTATCATATTATGGTTTTTACATACGTCATTTAGACAATACAGTATAAAAAAATTACGAGCTATAAAGATTATGGATTACATAATACCTATTTAACCAATTAATACATAATACCATATCTAAATCGGTAATTAGAGTCGAGAAGAATAAGTCCGGATAATCGAACATTCGGATAATCGATGTTCGGATAATCGGAACTCTACTGTATTACGTTTGCTTTATGTTATACTTACAGTATAAAATTTACTTACCATTTCAACTGGCACAAATTTCTCGCTGAAACTGACTATGACGGGACTGGTTTGCCATTTGATCCATACATTTCTTATTAGTAGGAAACACAAAATTACGCTCAGTAAGAAGGTTACCAGCCAAAATAACCTACGGTCACCAGATAACTTAAAATTAACAATATGATTGTAACGAGTAAACAATTTGTCAATTAATTGAAGAAAATCATGTCGACGATGCATGGTATTTACTCGAAAAATATTTAATATCTAAGCCAGACCAAATACACTTAAGTATATATACAAAAAGTAGAGTAACTGTTCAGTTATTTACAGTTTCTTCTCTATATATAATATATTATGAAAACTACAATAGATTTTTTTCTATACAACTTAGAATGGCAAACAAGCTGACGGCCCACTTGATGGAAAGTGGTAACCGTCGCCTATAGACATAAGCAGTACCATTGACATAACAGAGTATACTGTTTCGCTCATGATACCCCCATGTGTTGCCATTCCTGAGGACTCAGGTGTTATCCCTCTGTACCCTGTAAATTCACGCCATATCCCACCCTTCAAACCGAAATACAGCCATGCAAACACAGCTGTTTTACGGTTGAAACACGAATAGGACAGAGGTACCCAAGCAAACGACTTTTGTACAAAGTCTCCCTCTGATAAAGATGACGATTTAAAATCTGCATAAGACAACTGCAAAAGACTTTAATAAAAATTTATATGTACGAGTAGATAGTGATCTAAATTTCGCATTAACATAGGATTATGTGTATTTTTCGTCAACAAATTTATAAGTTATATCTAATTACGTTATTTATAATAGGAATAAGTGAAAACTTTTACTTTTCAACGACGCTCAGACTTTTCTCAGCGAGGTATCTTAGACCGTGCAGCGTAGTATTTTTTGCGTAATCTTTTAGTAAATCTTTAAACAAGATTTTCCACCTTTTCCTCCGTAGATCTGCATTATTCTCCCTTTTCCTTGCAATGTAATAACCACAGAATAAATAAATATTAATAACTATAATGCAGGTAGGTGATTTTCTATCTAATTCCGGTGAAGTATTTTGGTTTTGAGTCTTCAGATAAGTTGATGTCCCCGGAAAGTTTTTTACGAAATGCTTTCTTTTATATTTCGGGGACATCGACTTTTCTTCGGACTCTGAAGTTAAAAGCACAATTGTAAGGTCTACAGAAGTGTGACGCACTTGCTGAAAAACACCCAGATGTTTCTGCATCTTTGTTGCAGCTATATTGGCCAGTTTCTTTGCCGAGGACCTTAAACTTTTTTCAATTCAGGAGACAACTGTCTCTTATTCCTTCACATCTAAAGAGGATTAAATAGGAGTAATATTACATTCAATTATTACTTCCTTACTATACGAATGGTTTCCAGGAGGAGGTCGATCTGATATACTCGTAGTATACTGCTAGCAATGGGGCTACTAATCCCCATTCCTAACAATTCTTTCTCCCCCCATAATCGTCAGTTGTCTATTGCTGAACTTTTCTAAATTATTCCCACTAACTATGCGACTAGGTCACTTTATTTCGATAATGCTTTTCTATTAAATGCGAAAGATTGTAAGGCTAGATCTAGATTATAGAGGAACTGACAACGATTAACTTTCACGCAAAAAATACTAAACAATTTTGAATGGAATTTGGTACATGGGTAGGTTATATCCTATTTTACTATTTAGCGTACTTTACGTACCGATTCACATGCACAAAGCCGCAGTATATAGTTAGTAATAAATAAAATAGTAATACTTACTGCATTATAATCGTATTACAATGATTATTGTTATCAAGGAATGATTTTTCAAAATTTCTTTTAGAACTTATTACTAAATTACTGGCACATAATGAATAATTTAAGTTCCAAAATTGAAAAGGACGAATACTAGGAACCAATATTTTAAACACTGGTTACTATCAAATATTGTGTTACACTACACCATATTAGATAGTGTTGTTAAATTACTCGTATTTCCATTAATTAATTAGATATGACGCGTCTAATTGATAATGAATATTTATAGTTTACACTTTAGTCTTTTATTATGGCCATTTGGGAGATATCATTGTTTAAATTACGTCTATTATTCCCTATATAATTAGGGTGTGTGCAGGTCATTCGACAAATGTACTTTATGCCGTCGACACTTGTTAATTTATATGACTTAAATATATTAATATACATACATATATTCTAATATTATGTTTGTTTATCACTAATATAGGTAGGAATAATATAGTGGTAGTATAGTACGAGCAATAAAATGCCAATTGTGCTTTATCAAAGAATATCTTTCAAATTCAAATTTATTTTTATTCAAATAAACTTGTTTACAAGCATTTTTAAATCAGCATTTTTTTTAATCTATTACAGGGTTCAGAAGGTTGTTATCTGTTGAGAAGAGCCCGCAAGAAACTCAACAATTGCTCTTTTAAATCTTTCTTAAAATTACGTGTATTTATTTGATATGTACACACGTGTATATATATGACAGTCGCTTTTACCGGATGTTTTCGCCACCAGGCGACTAAATGCTGGAATAACATACCCCCTCCAATGAAACAAGCTGCATCCAAATTAATTTTTAAAAAGTTATTAAAACAGCATTTATTAACGAAACAAAAACTTAGGTTGGTCGCCTGGTAGCGACTGCTTTCAACATAATAATTATTGTGGTGAATTATTTATATTGTATGTTTAATTAATTAATGAAATATATTATTTATGCATCATTTATATAAGTATGTATCTATATAATACAATTTTATCTTTGGCTATTAAATTGATTACACAGGTTACACTCTGGGTTTGTTGTACGCGTCCGTGTAGCCTAACTTCAGGCTGCAGCTGAAAATCAGTGCTTTGCTTTTAAGCAAAACCATCACTGAGCTGTAGCTTATTTGGGTCACTGCGACACACATGGCGAAACCATATTTTATCTTTTGTTGTATACTTTAAAAAGTGTAAATAATTTAATTGTTAAACTCATTTGTAAATTTACGTGTGTCATAAATGGCTCAAATCAAAAGTTTATCTATCTATTTAAAGTACTATGTCTAAATGTTACTTTCACTTCATATATCCAGTTCCACTTGTCCTGGGATCGTTTCCTCACTTGTGGCTAAGAGTGGATTTTCTCCACGTGTCTCTATTAATTTGTTACCAGTAGGAATGAATGGAATAAATGTGTAATCATCAATCTATTCAAACAGAACCTATGGTTATATATATTTTTATTTTGGCTATATTCAACCTACTTGAAAACAGGTTCTCATTTCGGTTGTATCTAGCTGAATGTTTGTTTACCTCATAACTTAGTTTTTTTTTAAAAACCGATTTGGATTTTTTTTTGTGTAAAATGATATACTCTCTGTCATGTCCTATACAAATTTTATTAAAATTTGTTGAGTAGTTTAGCGTTTAAATCCAAATGAGTAGTTTTTGTAGGAACTACATCTTAAATTATTAACATATCCCTATCAACTTTTTTACTCATTTGTCTTCTGTAAGTATGTATGTCTTTTTTATAATTTTTGTTGGTCTCGTTGGTCATTATTTGGGAAAGATGGATGACCATCCTTTTTAAATGATGCCCAACACAAAAATCCCTTTTCAATATTTATCAGTATATCATGTAATCATTTTTTAATCCTTTTAACAATAATATGGTACTGAAAGTTAAATAAAACATATATAATTTCTTTATTTTTAATAGTAATCACAAATACGGTTAAATATTTTGAAATTATATTTAAATTTCATTTAAAATTACCACTTTTCAACTTTATTTTTAATATATTGAGAGCTTGGGGTTCAATACTGTGCCTTGAGAAACACCAATGCAAAAATGCTGTAGCTTGAATTGTAGAGAATATACATACACTGAAAACTTTATTACTAATTATATTATCTTGTTTTCGAGACTTAGTTCGTAAATAAAATATAATTGTGATATCTTATAAATTTTTTCATTGGCTGATTATTTTATTTCGATGTCATGACTTTTGTACTTTTCGTCTATTGTTACTTCCACTTCATCTTTTGTTACTTTAAATCTGTAACATAAATAAAAATTAAGAAAACAAAATCTTACTGAAACTACATTTCAAATAACATATACTTCTAAAGTTTTAAAGATAATAGTTAATATAATGTAAGAATATCAGCGATATTTAAATGAGTTCTTTTTTTAATATCTATTATTAAAAAAGACATTATTTTATTATCATATTAGAAAAGTATCCAGACTAATTAATACATATTGCTCGAGAATCTAACCGGCAGGTTAAACCGATGTATCATCAAGGTCATCATGTTTTAATGCAACTTGGAATAGCAAATGAGTTGATGACCCATTTGCAGCAAGGTAACAATCGTCGTCTTTAGATATGAACATTATCATGGATGTTGACACAATGTTGTGTTATATCCATGGTACCCTTATATGTTGCTGATCCTAAGTACTAAAGACTAATTTTGTAAAATAACTAACTCACCCAATGATAACATAATGCAAAATCTCGAGAATACTGAAGAAGGATACTCCAAGACAGAGTCCAAGTAGCCCACCGATGTTGCCAAATAATTCTGATATAGTATATAACTCTGAACGTTGTATTGATAAAAAACTGGACTCCTTAAAATATATATCCAATCGGAAGTAATCGTATCTAAAAAAAAATTAAACATCTAAACATTAGTAGGTCTAAAAAAGAGGCGGTTCATAAACAGATTGTGAATGATTGGCATGACAAATATTAGAAGAAGATTGACTGTCACTATTACTACCAGAAGTTCCACAACCTCTCATATTAGCTAACAATCTCCAACAGCTACTTTGTTCATGCACGTTTTGTGATACGTGTTTTATCTCTAAACGAGGCATCTTCAAGCTAATTATTAGGTTGTTGCTCGGAGTTGAATGTTTGTTTATTGTTATTTTTGTTAATATTATTGATAGCTTATATGGAAGGTTATGGAACTTCTTTCTGGTAGTAATGGTGATGGTCAGTTTTCAAGTGTTAGCAGTCATATAAATAATAATACTGGAGGAATTAAACAATATAACTCCAATTAAATAACCACAAATGAACTTTTGCAAGATAAATAAAATTTATAAAAAACGAAAGTGTATCTTTTATTATCAATTAGATACTTTATGTTAGAAATAATAAATAGTGTGCAAAATATACTATCAAATTACAGCGAAAGAAAAAGAAAATTATAGTAGAAAATAAATGAGTTATTAATATTATCATGTTAGTTTACTATATCAGCTTGAATAAAGAGAAGTGTGTGTACAGCAATAAGTTCAGTTGCTTACTCTTCTAAATCCATTTTGTTTTGAAAACCCGTTGCTCTTAAGTGCGATGCAAGTTTTTCAATGTCGAAAGGAGATTCATAAACTTCAGCATCATATAGAATTTCTTCGCACGTTAGCAAACACGAACATTTGTCTGGTAGGTCGTTTGAATACGCTTCAAATATTTCTGCCCGATATATAGCTGAAATTTCATAATTGTTATAAATATAAATCAAAAGAAAATTATTTGTATTAAATAGATAGATACTCTTTATTGTTTCCTAAAAGATTACAATAGTAAACTTATTATAAATATAAATAATTACAAGAAATAATCACAATGAGAAAACAATGGGCAGTGAAATTTTTTTTCTATTGATTGCTTTTTTGGTATTTTTGATAATTTGATAAGATACGTTTTTTTTTTGTTTTTATATAAGTTTGTTTATGCTTTTCCTGTCTTTAATTTGTACTCATTATACTCTGAAACTAAAAAATGTATTATTTATTTACCAGTTCATAATACTTACTCGTATTCTTTATTATTATTATTTGTTAATTTTCTTTGGAGAAATCGATAAAATAACGAGATTTAGAAAAGAACAATTACTAAAAAATAAATTTCTGGAAATTATTTGTAAGTGTCGGGAAATAATTCATTAGTTTTATAAATTACCTCGAGCTTTAATAGTGCATTCTTTTTTTTCTGTAGTACAAATTGACTGATTTTCACCATCTGCAAATACATTTCTGTTATTGAGTTTATTATATGATTAATTATAGTGTCTTTTAAGTTTGTACTTCATATGTATTAAGAGCGTACTTAAAACATAAAACATTAAAAAAAACGTTATCTATTGAAAATACTTACGTGGCATGTAGAATGACACACAACCACACGTTTCATATGTGTAATTGGACAGACATTCTAGTCTACAGTTATTGGGTGTGTATATTTTAAAATACTTAAGATACCGTTCTCCAGGTAAATAACATTTTCGCCTAAAAATAAAAATAAATATGCAATGTATACGTTTGAGAATCATTATCTTTCTTCTTCTAAACTTCGTTAATTAAGTGCAAATAAATCAAAACAGTGAGAATAAAATATAAAATTAATTAAAAATTTTATAGTACAGTATGTTATGACAATCAAATAATATTAAAAAAGAATTATTTTTCAATAATTAGGTACTAGATTTGAAGGTGTGTGCAAGATTTCAGCTTAATCAGATGTTAAAAAATTGTTCTAAAATTTGCTTGAAAAATTTGACCTTAACAAAATAACTAACATACATTGAAAGTTAAATAAAAGAAACTTGTAAAAAATCTAATCTGCTCACACGTCTACGCCGAATTTATGCAAATCTGAAGAAGCGCTTATAGATTGAAATTTAAGTGCTAAAGATGTGGTCTTTCCTGGTGATGCAACGTAGAAATGGCGCAACGCTTGTGGATGATCAGCTGGATGTTGCAAGTAAATCTGCAATGCAATACTTGTATTTGCTTATTTTACTAATATTTGGATGGAATCTTTCTGTATTGTTTGTCAAACTTATAGTGTTTTTAATAAAACTAGTTGCTTTGCAATCTTTGCTTATTTTTAATTCTGCATGACCAAAAGACTTTACAAATAGTTTTGTTGATAATAACTTTATATGAAATAATTTGTATAAATACATTTGTATTATTTGTTTCTGTAGTTGAACTGTTTTGTTTGCATGGTTACATTTTGATTTGAATGGCAGAATATGACTATGAAATCCCATTAATATTATAAATATGAACGTTTGTAGGGACGGATGGATGTTTCTAACGCTTTATGCAAAAACATACTAAACAGATAATATTTTAAATGGATTTGAATGAAATTAATAAACAGGTAGGTAATATCCTAACATAATGCATAGGTTACTTAATGTACTGATTTATTAGAACAAAGTTACGGGATGCAGTTGGTTACTAAATATGGTGACATAAAATCATATTTATCAGGAGTGATAACGAATGAGGATTGGATGTTATATTATCTACTGTGCAATCTAAAATACCCTTTATGTTTATAATCGATACTTAATATTTTTCACCAAACTGAATCTGACCATTATTTTAAATTGTAAAAAAAAAACTTACATTAAAACCAGTAAGGCCAGCATTGCAAAAGTCATATTTGTCTGTTTTTGGCAATTTAAGAAACAATACTATACGGGAAGCTTCTCCTGTCTGAAAAATGAATTAAATGGAGAAATAAGAAATCAAACTGTAATAGGTAATCCATAATCAGAAAATCCTAACTTTAATCAAAACTCTTTCGATATAAGAAGTAAATATACTATGATATATATAGCTTGTTAGGGAAAGATGTAGAAAAGTTGGGAATACTTACAGATGGTGACTTTGCTGACCTCTTAAATACATGATATTTGCTCCTGGATGCAAATGCCAGTGTACCGAGTATTAACACTAAATCCATTATATTAGATTTACACTATTTAAGGGCTAGCTCAACACTAGTATTTTAATTAATTCTAATATAGATTTATTTACATATGATGCAGCAATTGACATCTTATTATTATTGCATATAGGAACATTTTTGTTTTCTTAGTGCTAGAGGGTGCTCCGGTTGTAAAGTGCCAAATTGATGAGCCATAAGTAAACTTTCTTGAGTAGCTAATTGTAAAAGTGGCATTACGAGTAGCATAATGCAAAATATTGAAAGGGAATAAAAATAGGAGGAATAGAAGTAGCAAGCCAGCATATAAATAATATATAAAAGCTTTCAAATATTACCGTCCTTAGTGGATATACGTTTGCAGATCCATTCGTGTAGCCTTTAACAAGATCCCAACCTTTACTACGTTGAGCAGCATTGCTCAGTGGATAATTAGGTCGGAGGCTGAAACATTATAAAGTTGATAAGATATAGGTCAGTGGTTAGTCGCTTTAATACAATAAGGTTAAGCCCATATATATTCTCGTAGATAATGTGTTAGTGTGTTTTATATGGTAGATCGATAATTAAATATGTATTTATTCCATATTTTCTTGTAACATTACATAAGAAAAATATTTTAATATAATAATACCCGGTTTAACTTACGTGTATTTTAGTCGAGCTTTCTCGATCTCTCAATAGAAGTTTCCGGATCATTCAGGACCTTTAGTCACGAGCAACAGTGACTCTAGCGAGCAAGTTTGACCCTAGTTGTTATTATATTAAAATATAATGTGTACTTACGATACTTTTAAAGAAAAGGTTTTTTTTTTACGAATACTATTACTATGTATAGACTGATAAATCCAAATTTGATTGTTCTGATGATTACGATTTTTTAAAATGATCTAAAGATCTAAAGCTAAAGCTCTCTTTACCGAAAGTAGATCTACATTCATCACGATGAGCCAATTGAACAGACTTCAGACTAACTTATCATCTTTCACTAGTACCCCGCCAGTGTATACCGATAGCACATACAGGGTGACCATTGCATTTTCATCTTTAATAAAGTCCTAATACAAATCCGTTCAATGAAACTACATATTTTGAGCCTTAATAACAAAGATAACAAGTTATTATTTTATATGGTTAAATGTATTACATTGCATTCATAAAATAAAAAAAACATGAATTTCATCACCTTATGGAAATTTTTCGAAAAAAATGGATTAGGCACTATAGGAGTAATACCCATTATGTCACTTACTTCTCTTCACGGAATATTTCTGTAGCAGCCAATACATTTTTATTGATACAATGGCCTTCCTCTGTTAAAATTGTCGCATAGTTGAGGCGCAATGACAGTTTGTCGAGCCAACGCAACTTTTCGTGCATATCAGTATGAACCTAGAAAATTAGAACTGACTCAAATTCAGATCATCTTTTTTCAAAAAGACTTGTTTACAAGCATTTAAATCGTTATTTTTTAAGTCTACTGTAGAGTTCAGAAAGTTGTTGTCTGTTGAGAAGAACCCGCAGGAAATTCAACAGTTACTCTTTTAAATTTCTGTTAACATATACATATATTATAAGTACTCGTATATTTATTGAAATGATGACTAGGAGTATGTCTAAAATTATATGGTCATTAAAAAACCCGTGCATGATCGACTAACACGATGCACGCTTGTCATTCAAGTAATCGTTTAGAGTGTAATAGGCTTTGTTCAATAACTGTTTTTTTTTAATAACAGTTTTAAATTTATTAATAGGTAGATCCTAAATATTCTTAAATATCTTATTATATTATTTAATGCCCATTCCCATAAAAGACCTATTAACTTTTTCTAAACGATACTTCGAAACAGCAAATTTGTATTTATATCTAGTGTTAAAATTATTCAGATCCTTGTTTTTAAGAAACAGTTTAAAATTCCTACGTCATTCATTTCATTCATTTCATATTTATAGATTGATTACTACTAGGCTATTAATATACGTAAGCTACTAAAAAGTAATTAGCATGTGCCGAAATAAAAATTTGCATGCTTTTAGATAAGGCGAAATATATAGCTCATATTATTTAAGATAATTTGTACTACATTTCGAGCAAATAAATTATTATATATAAAAAATGTTTGCGTACTGTGAAGCTATTGTTTCTATTATAAATTCTGTTATCTCTTCCAAAAAGGAGTTGACGAAACACCCGTCCAATGAATAAAATCAATGCTCTCCAAGCGAATAGTAAAAACAAATCTTCATGATATATCACATGAAATTTATGCTACTAGAGGATGCCCACAAGGAGGTGTCTTATCGCCTCTACTGTGACTTCGTTACAAGTCAGTCAATTAGATCAATTCTTGGAACGAATAACTGATGACCACATCAAAGTGTAGGGTTATGCAGATGACCTTGTAATTATGGCCAGAGGTTTCTGTGAAGTTATTATATCAGAACGTATCCAAAGAGCTCTTAACATCATTATAAAATGGAGTAATGAAAACAAAGGTCATATAGTGAGGTACAAAGATAAAAGGTGGACTCTCCAAACAACAAAGTGGCGAGGTCCAGCAGGAAAAAGAAATGTTGGAAGGCAAAGAAAGAGATGGGCAGATGACATAATAAAGACAGCAGGAAACAACCTGGACAAATATTGCTATAGATAAGGAGAAGTGGAAAAAGATGGAGGAGGCTTAAAAGCCACTGAAGTGGATAAAAAAGCTATAATAAAAAAAAATGACAATAAAATATCAGTAAATCCTGATAAAACTGTAAGCATTCTATTTACTAAAAGGAAGAAAATAGACAAACTAATGATGCGTCCAGTAAATTACAAAATCTCTCCAAAGAGACTTCTCCAAAAAATCAAGTACCTGGGCGTAATCATGGATCAAAACCTGACATGGAATCCATATATAGGCTCAAAGGCTTTAAAAGGCTAAAGCCACACTTGGCATTAGTCGTCGCTTAACCGAGTGTGGATGGGGGATAAATCACAAAATTGGCCTGTGGCTATACACCGCTATATATGTTAATAACATCATTATATCAGCCCTTAATGGTTCACTGCTCAACATAAGCCTTCCCCTTGGAGGGGTTTTGCCAATAGTTGCTACGCTTGGCAGTCGGATTGGCAACCGCAGTTAGGCTTATGGAAAACATATTTTATATCCTGAGGAGTTAAAAACATCGCTACAAAAAACATTTTAAAACTCCTATCGTTGATAGAAATTAGCAGCGAACTTTAAAAGGGGCGAGCACAAAAGATCACGGAATAGTCGCAGTGCCACTGATTTTTTTTTTTGCCTGAAAAAGCCCATCTTTTTGTAAAAATAATAATACCCAAGAGTTGATACCAATATACCTTTTCCATATTTTCTATAATTGTACCATCAGTGAAGTCACGGCCTATGGTGTAGTTTAAAGTGTTAAAAATACCCTGTATGGTACGCGTAGGACAGATCAATGAGATATCTTGAACTGCTTCCATGGCTCTTTTTATGGTCTCATTATGGTTTTTGTAACTGAAAAAAATATTAATACATTATAATCATTTTACGATACTTAGAATGGCAAACAAGCTGACGGTTCACTTGGTGGGAATTGATAACTGTTGCCAATATACATGAACAAACACCATGGACTAATAAATAATGCACTGTGATGCTCATAAGGAGTACCTCTTTATGCGTTGCCATTATGTTACATATACAGTCCTCAGGAATGGCAACGCATGGGGGGTATTATGAGCGAAACAGTATACTCTGTTATGTCCATGGTACTGCTCATGTCTATAGGTGACGGTTACCACTTTCCATCAGGTGGACCGTCAGCTTGTTTGCTATTCTAAGTTGTATAAAAAAAATTACTAATTAAACTACCTTCTTATATTTTATAAGTCAGTTTAATTTTTTTTTACCATTATTTTACTAATTATACATTATATATATATATATATATATATATATATATATATATATATATATATATATATAAAATATTATGAGAATAATGAGGTAAAAAGGTTTCTTCAGGGTCGGACAGGGTCGTAATCGGGCGGAGCCGCGGGTTACAGCTATTATTTATATATACAAATAAAAGGAGTTATTTACTTAAGAAAAATAAATAACTCGAGTTCGCAGTAGGTTTCCAATAACAAAAACAGTAACTCACTCGTTCCGAAATGTTGCGTTTTGGAAATATTTTATGTACTCTTCAGTAAAATTGTACTTCGGATTTATTTTCACATTCGGGCATAGTGTTATTGATGGAAACGGTACCTTAAATTAAAAAAAAAGAACTAAAAAAGAACTAAACAACTAAAAAAATAACTAAATAATTTTTTTTAAATTTTATTTAGTTATTTGTTTACTAAAAATTTTTATATATTTTTTTTTGTTTTTAAGCATCTTAGAATAGCAAACAAGCTCGTCAGCTTGTTTTTCAGCCCACCTGACACAAAGTGGTAACCGTCGCCTATAGACATAAACAGTACTATGAACATAACATAGTATATTGTTTCGTCCATGATATTCCACATGCATCGCCATTCCTGAGGACTCAGGTGTTATTCCTCTGTACCCTGTAAATCCACTGCCATATCCCACTCTTCAAACCGAAACACAGACATGCACACACAACTGCTTGACGGTAGAAATACGAATGGGACAGAAATACCTAAGCAAACAACATTTGTACAAAGTCTCCCTCTGGTAAATAAAATTTTAAGTAACTATCTGATATAAAAATTCTGAGTAATTTGTTTTCTGTTTTTAATTAATAGCTTTATGCTTTTTTTTTGTTATCTTTTTTATTAAGAGGCTTTTATCCTTTAAGGATATGTCAGCCTCATCATACCCTAATTTAAACAAAATACCTCACATACTTAAAACATTAAAGTTTTATGTTGAAGAAAGAAATAACAATTATTCAAGTAAAGTTAAATTTAACTATTGTTGAATACACATTTTCGTAAACTTCAGCTGTTTTTTTTTTAAGTTAAATTATATAGGTAAAAATTAGGAATTTTTGTGATTACGAATTACTAAACAGTATGAAATTATAAAATATAAGAAGCTATTAGCGTATAATTAGAATAATTAAATAAAATAATTCGGCTACAAACCACTAGAACTGACTACAAAAGGCTAGTGTTAAGAATGGAAAAGGATTTGTAAACTGAGGGCATACCAGGAAATATTTTACGAAATTACGAAACCTAATGAAACCCAAATTTGATGTTAAAATTACATAATACTTACCGTTTAAAAACATTAAAAATATTAAAATATTATTCTTTTGCACTTTTATGGTAGGATTTATGACGAACGTAACGTTAAGCTCCATTTACTAGGCCGATTTAGGTATGAACGAAAACACGAAATTGGGTCCGAAACTTCGGAATTTCTTTTCATGGTAGGCCCTCTGGTCTCTCCTGGTCATGCAGAAGAAGACACGAGTTAAATCTAGTCTTACCTTTTCGACGGGCACGTATTTCTCACTGAAACTCACTATAACGGGGCTGTTCTGGTATTTGGTCCATACTTTGTTGATCAGCATGATGCACAGCGTTGCACTCAAGAGGAAGATGATCACCCAGAATAATCTGAGGAAATGATTTTTTTACTGAACTTAGCGTTACTTTGCGGAAGCCCATATCGCTGGTTATTTAATTTAATTTTGTTTAATTCCGCTACCATTAGTATGTGTGTATACCAACACTCGAAGATTGACCACCACTATTACTATTAGAAGTTCTACAACCTTCCATATCAGTCATCAATCTCCGACTGCCATTTCGTTCACGCACGTTTCGCGACTCGTGTTTTTACCACCGAACGAGGCATCTTCAAGGTTACTTTTTATGTTGATGGAAAATTGGAAGTGCCACCTACAGGGAGGAGGGGATTGTTAGTAATGAGTTTTAACAATTCCATTGTTAGCAATATAGCCTATCAGGTAGACCTCCACGCGGTCGCCCTGGAAATTATTGAGGTTAATTATTATGGAATTTGTCATTATGGGCCAACTGATCAGCTTCCAACCTCACCTATCGTCTCTGAGTGGTACCTCGTCAGCATATACCTGGTTTCCATTTCATATCTCATAAAACTCATTAATCAACTATCACCTAAGGACGTGAATCCATGTATATCAAATAATAATACCTCAGTATCCATGCATATCAAATAAAAGTGTCTTTCCCCTGTGGTCTCAGCATAGAATATTTCTCTTTCTTTCCCGTGGGTGACGTAAGAAGCGATAAGGGAGGGCGAGGAATGGGCAACAGCGTCCCTCTTAAAACATTTTCAAAGTGTAACTGCGGTTGCCAATCCGCCTGCCAAGCGTGGCAAGTACTGGCAAAAGCCCCCAAAGGGGAGGCTTATGTTAGACGCTGAAATGATGACGATTATGACACTGTCTTTGGTATACAAACATGGATTACAATACCTGAGGCTATAGACTTTACTGTATAGGCTATTCAACATCACGATAAGACTACGGGCGAAGCAGCGGGATACAGATAGTGTTATGAAAAGAATAATGTTATAAAGACATTTTTTTTTTATACCACTGAGGTGGCAAACAAGCATACGGCCCACCGGATGGTAAGCTGTTACCGTAGCCTATGAATGCCTGCAATACTAGAAGTATTACGCGCGCGTTGCCGATTCTGAAGAAACCTCTTTACCCCCTTTTTGAAAAACCCCATGCTGTAGTCTCTTGGGAAAACCTTGGCAAGGTTTTCTACGCAAGGGAGCTCATTCCATAACCTGAGTGTTCGTGGGAGAAAACATTTCTAAAACCTATATATATATATATATATATATATATATATATATATATATATATATATATATATATATGTATGTATGTATATATATGTACATTTTTTTTACTACAATAGCCAGCAAGAAGTAGTTGTCAATTTTAATAACATACCATAAAACATTTATATGGAGAACGCAGTTATAAAAGAGATTGTGGAATTAACCTTTTAAAGCTGAAACAGTCATTTAGAATGCAGTCTTTCTGCTGCAGTGATTTCCTTCTCTCTCTGTCCTTCTCTCTTTGCTCTTGAACACTCGGAAAAATGTATTTGAGACCATGTATTGTTGAGTTTTCCATGTATTCTAATATCAAGTACCATATTTTCCTATGATACTCCACTGGTTCAAGGGCTTCAGGTGCATTTTGTCTTTTAAAAGAAAAGTTAAGTCATAAATTTTAATATCTTACTAATTCACGAGTAAGAAGTTTGTAACTAAACGATGTCTATATACATGGTAGATATTTAAGAAAAAAGTAATGTAAACGGTTTTAATAAGAACAAAAAATATGATCATTACGCCATAGTCGTAGAATACTGACGGATCTTTATATGTAATGTTTGTCAGATCCGTCAGTATTCTACGACTATGACGATATCTCGGAATACTGCGCTCGTTTAAAGTGGCTCCCAATCCGACAGCGTCATGAGACACATTTCCTAGCGGTCCTATCTAATGCCCTTAATGATCCCATATTCTCCTTCCTACCTTCGTTCCCGGTTCCAATTGTTACCTCCTCCTTCCACGCCTAGACGTATTTGCTTATACCAGTCCAGGGTTTTTTTAATATAGTTTTTTAATCTGTCTATTGATAAGTCTGTCTGTCTGTTTATACGTTTGTACTGGGATCAAATAAAAAGTATTAAACTAAATTGAGTGCGGTTTTCACAGTTGCGTTGCTTACTTCATTCGTTTTCCCATAACAGAAAATTCGCATACAAAGTAGCGTGATTATTTAAATAGAATTGTTTACAAGATCTTTTAAATAAATGTTTTTCTTTTTACAATTCGGTCTAATGGGATTCGAACCCACATCTCTCTGCTATCTGGACTGTGTTCCCAGCTACAGCATGGATGGAATATGGCAGTATTTATAACTAAAATTTTAACTAACTTTTTGTATTAATAACTAGCGATCCGACCCGGCTTCGCGCGAGTAGACAGAATTTTCGAAAATCAATACAAATAATAAGAAAAGTTTCAGCCAATTCAACAGATCGGTTGTTTTATACCATTTTATGTGTGATTCTTTAGATTGATATAGCTTATTTATTTATGAATCGATTGAAATGATTGAAATTGCATTCAAATCGGTTAAGCCGTTTCTGAGATTAGCGTGCACAAACGTACAGAAAAACAGATAAAAATTTTTAAAACAATTGTTTTGGGTTCTATTGCGTTTATAAAGCCTCCTGTAATAGTATTTCTTATATTATATATATTCCATGTACGGACAGCGATCAGTTATATATATATATATATATATATATATTGATTGGCATAAAACAAACAAAACACAAAATATTATTACTTGAAAACAAAAACAAAAAACAAAATTAAAATGTAATTTAAAACTGTTTTTTTTTTGTGTCAATAATAATAAGTAAATTCCATTGGAATACCCACGACATATCCAATTTATGCGTAGAATACAGACACAAAATTTGAGCACTACAAAAATACTGGCAGTCACTGCTAAATATAGCGTTAAACTAAAAAAAATTGATTCAAAATTAAATCTCATCCTAAGGTCAAATTAGGTTATACAGACAAACAGGTTATGTAAGTTCGAACGCTTCGACTAAGACCTGCTATTGTAAATATAGACATAGTGTAGAAAAACAATGCAGATATCATGATATTTTTAAAGTTTTATATTTTCTTTATACCACTGGGGTGGCAAACAAGCATACGGCCCACCTGATGGTAAGTGGTTACCGTAGAATATGAACACCTGCAATACCGGAGGTATTACGCGTGCGTTGCCGACTCTGAAGAAACCTCTTTACCCCCCTTATATATTTATATATTTTTTTTTAATTCAAATTCAAATTATATTTGTTCAAATAGACTTATTTACAAGCATTTTTAAATCGTTATTGTTTTTTTAATCTACTGCAAGGTTAGGAAAGTTGTTATCTGTTAAGAAGAGATCGCAAGAAACTCAACAGTTATTCTTTTAAATCTCTGTTAACATTATGTGTATTTATTTAAAAGTACTATGTCTAAAATTACATGGTCTTTAAAAAGCCCACGCATGATCTAACACCATGCACGCTTGTCATTCAAATTGATTGATGATACTCGTATTCTACTGCGGAAATTAATTTATTTAAAATAAAAAAAAAGTTAATTAATAGACTTATATAAAGTAATAGATATATGGCGAAGTAGCTTCCTTATACATACCAGAGGGTGATTTTTTTACCAGAGGGAGACTTTGTACAAAAGTCGTTTGCTTGGGTACCTCTGTCCTATTCGTGTTTCTACCGTGAAGCAGTTGTGTTTGCATGGCTGTGTTTTTGTTTGAAGGGTCGGATACTGCAGTGAATTTACATTTCCTAGGTACCCAGGAATAATACCTGAGTCCTCAGGAATGGCAATGCATGAGGGGTATTATAGGTGAAATAATTATGTCCATGGTACTGCTCATGTCTATAGGCAACGGTTACAACTTTCCATCAGATGGGCCGTCAGCTTGTTTGCCATTCTAAGCTGCATAAAAAAATCACATTGTTGATTTGAAGAAAAGATAAGGCAATAAAACTGCTGGGTAACTACACTGTACCTAGTACGACTTGAAATCTCAGGTTAATACAATTTATAAAAATAGATCTGATCTGGGATTTTTTTTAACCAAATTACTTGCAATACTGATAAAATGGCGCGCAATGTTTTGCTTTAAAAAATATGTGTAAAAATTATATCAGCCAAAGTGACGTTAGCTGACTAAGCTTTGACCTGTTTTGACGCTATATTTCTTATTTCCTTTTTATTAATCACTCTATCTATATGATTTGAAACTACAGGGTACTACTGTGACAGAAAAAGGTGCATTAAAACTAATAATAATAAAAAATCACGTGTTTATTAATTTATTTTTAATTAGAATTTACAATTAAAATAATTTTAGTTCTCGACTTACGTACATAAGGTGATATATTTAAAAGTAGTTCCAAAAATTATGAATACTAATTGTGTCGGTCACGTATAGTAGTCACGAATTTAGACACTTGAAATTTACAACAGATACGTTGATTCAAATTTATATTCCATACCTGACTTTATTTATTTCTAATATAAGTATAAATCTGTATAAAAAGTTTCATAAAAAAAAAAAAACCAATTCATATTACAGTAAACATAAAAGTTGTTTAATTATCAGTGTGCACAACGCACATTTTTGTTTCCTTTTAATTTTATTGAAATGAAATTTTTGTTTGTGACTTGAAGTTGCTCTCAGATTATGTTGTTTTCTCGTTCGCTTACTTGCTCCCTTTATTTGCTTTGTATAATTTTTTTATAATTATATTTTATTTTTAAAGACACCGTGTTTCCATATACCAGCATATAGTCCTTTTTCGAAATCGACTTACAACTGATAGAATTATGAGATTACAAACATTAAAAAAAAGATATAAACGAATTGAAAAACGCCTTCTGTTTAAAGTCGATTGATAAATTTCTTAATGGAAATAATAGAGATGTCTGGAGTTTGAAGTCAGTAACTTACCCAGTAAATACCTCTATTTATTATACCATCTACTATATAAGAATAATGATGACAAACTATTTCATTTTTTATACAACTTAGGATGGCAAACAAGCTGACGGCCCACCTGATGGAAAGTGGTAACTGTCGCCTATAGACATGAGCAGTACCATGGACATAACAGAGTATACTGTTTCACCTATAATACCCCCCATGCGTTGCCATTCCTGAGAACTCAGGTAATATTCCTCTGTACTCTGTAAATTCACGCCATATCCCACCCTTCGAACCGAGACACAGCCATGCAAACACAACTGCTTCACGGTAGAAACACAAATGGAACAGAGGTGCCCAAGCAAACGAACTTTGCACAAAGTCTCCTACTAGTAATCATTAACTATCATCATTACAATAACATTATAAATACTTAAATATATTTTATTTATTTATTATTAAATTCAAAATTTACTTATAAATATCGAACGTGTCTTGGTAGCTTGCATTAAAAGAAAACCATAGCTTTATATTATGACTAAATATATTGAGACAATATATTTATGTGGTATATTGTAGTTTTAGAATTCATACATAGATATGACTTACACTAGAAGCTGAGTGATTCTTATACTACAAACACGAGTAATTATATTATACAATTGCTATTGAAATATTGCTCAAAAATTAGATAACAATTTTACGATTAAGAATGACAAATTAGTGAGATATATTAAAGGATCAGAAATATAAATGCAACACTTAGAATAAGAACAAAGTGATACCTGTCACTTTTATATTTTTATGTCTTAACAGTTTTTCTTGTAATATAAAATTATTAAAGGTCACAATAAATTATAGGTTATTAAGTTTACTTTAATTCTATTTTAAATACACAATCGGCACTTAACGCGATGTAAAAGCTTTTACAGGTAAATATTACCTACATACCTGTTTCTTTATTGCTGACGTTTCGACGTAGATTGCACCACGTCGTAGCCACGTGTGGTCAAAATATATATAAACAACGTGAAAGTTTAACATTAATTACTTTAATTCTTTTTTTTTATACCACTAACGTGGCAAACAAGCATACGGCCCACCTGACGGTGGGTGGTTAACGTAGCCTATGAACACCTGCAATACCAGAGGTATTACGCGAGCGTTGCCGACCCTGAAGAAACCTCTTTACCCCCCTTTTGAAGAATCCCATGCTGTAGTCTCTTGGGATAACCTTTTTAATAGATCAAAAATTAGTACATCCACTTGTTAAAAACTAAAATTACGTATCTTTTTATATTGTCTATATGTTTATTGCCTCTTTTTTTCTACTATATCAGTTTTCGAATTCAAGTTCTTTATTTGCATTAAACATGATTACGTTAGATATTAGATTGTGTATACATCGAGCTATATGTTTCACCAAAATACTGGTATGTAAAATTTATTTTGTATACCAATATATTGATGAAGTAATTGTACATGGTTAAGACTTTTCATATGTCTAGTTTAGTTTTTGGTCTTTAACTATTAAAGTTTTCATACAATACTTGTAAAATTTAATTACAATCAAAGTACTATAATACGATCGCTAGTATCCATGTTTATTTTTTCCCTTTAGTTTATTTCATTCAGATGCATTCGTTTCTGCATCATTAACTTTGTCCTTCCTTAGCGTGCTTTTCTCTTGATCTAAATCTTTCTTCAAAGTAAATCCAAGTCTAAAATAAATACAAAGTAAATTTTAGTTAAATTAGAAACTAACTAAATTTATAATTATTATATATATAAGTTAAAAGTCATGCAACATATGTTATTACATATGTTTTTTTCTCTTTTATTTTACCAATCTATTTTACTAGTTGTATCCCGGAGCTTCACCCACTTTTTTTTTTATACAACTTAGATTGGCAAACAAGCTAACGGCCCACCTGATGGAAAGTGATAACCGTCGCCTATAGACTTGAGCAGTACCATGGACATAACAGATTATACAGTTTCACCCATGATACCCCCCATGCGTTGCCATTCCTGAAGACTCAGGTGTTATTTCTCTGTACCCTGTAATTTCACGCCATATCCCATCCTTCAAACCGAAACACAGCCATGTAAACACAACTGCTTCAAGGTAGAAACACGAATGGGACAGAGGTACCGAAGCAATCGACTTTTGTACAAAGTCTCCCTCTGGTAGAATTAGTACAAAAACTATCCTATACGCTACATTAGGGTGTTATATACTCGTGTAATAAATTTCATTCAAATCCATTCAGTACTTTTTACGTAAAAGACTAACAAATATCCATCCGTCGATTTCGCATTTATTGTACTAATAATAAAATCTAAGGCCTTACCTTAATGTACAAAAATATATAATTTCAATAAGGCTGAGGACAGAAAATCCGAGAAACAGTCCGAGTAAGCCACCACAATTAGCGAGAAAATCTGTCAGGCCAAACAGTTCTGATCGTCGCATTGATGCAAATCTCGGCTCTTTGAAGTAGATGTCAATTCGAGAATAATCGTAACTGAAACATTGTAACGACATAATAATACTTTCAACACTACCCAAGATTGACAGGTAGCAAATGCTTTGTCACTACTGTAGTGGAAAGATAAATAAAATAAGGTAAACAAAAAACTAGCTGAGCGGGCCGAGGCGCGCAGTCAGGCTCGCGCTCGTGGCACAGCCGCTCGTGATTAAGGATCACGAAATGATCAAGAAACTAGTTGTACTTTCTCGTTCTATTTACACGTAAGTTAAACCGGTAGTTATTACATTAAAATGAATAGGCATCAATAAATATATCTGACTGTAATTCATTTGAAAACATAGACGTTAGCTGTATTTAGAACACGTTTGAAGCAAAATTAGTTAATTAAATTCAAGTTAAATTAATTACAATCATTTTTAATTGTCAATTAATGTATGATTCTTCTATTAATTTAGAATGAAATTACGGCTGGGAAGAATGGACTCAACTGAAGAAGAGACTCAACTGTTGCTTTTTGCAACAAAAGTTTATTTTACAATTACCATATATATTATGAAAAATAAATACCTAGCAACTTAAGATATCTCGTAATATTATTCCTTAATAAGAATAAAAAAAAAAAATCCCTCAAAATAATAAATTATAACTTTAATAAAATCCATTTTCTTTTTTGATTCCAATTTTTGCTTATTACATTTTCGGTAATTTTTCTTAGCTTATGTGTGATCTTAGCTTAGATTGTATACCACAAGATCGAGTACCAAAAACAAGCCCAAATTCATTGAGCTAAAGTGATTTTAAAGTTTGACATAGAGCGCGCTATTTTTAAGTTTTAATATTCATTAATACGAATGGAAACAAATATATATTTTTTAATTCTACTGTTATACTTGTATGTCAATCAAAGCAAGGTGAAGATAGTATCGTTATAACCTCTTTATCCCGTTTGTTGGAATATGGAAGATATAACATTATAAAAATATAATAGTAATGCGGACTACCAGTCCCATTAGCAATATTCCCTGTCAGGTCGACCTCCACGTGGTCCGCTTGGAAACCATCGTGCTGAATTCTAGGCGTATTCATTACGGTGGGCTAACTGCCTTTTTATTCTCACTGGTGCCCCGCCAGAGTATACCGTTAGCGCAGACGGTGTACCATTCCATTATCATCCATTAAAAAAATATGATCTATGAGATAACAAGTTATTCAAAAGCTATTTCCGAATCAGCTATTAAAAAAAAAAAACAAGGTAAATATTTTAATAAATATAATATTACATTGTACCTCTCAATAAGATTAGACAGGTCGATTTCAGCTAATTTCTGAAATTGATTTATTATTGAACTAAAATTGAAATCAGTCTTGAGGATTTCTGCATCGTAGGAGATCTGGTCACATGGTGGTAAACATAAGCACGGATCGGGTTCATCTTCTACAAAATCATCAAATATCTCATTGGTGAATTCATCTGCAACATTGATTCAATTAAAATTTAGACCGATGATGACAATACCTAAATATCACTACATAGTATAAAACAAAGTCGCTGTCGTTGTCTATCCGTCCATATGTATGCCTAAATCTTTAAAACTACATAACGGATTTTGAAGCGGTTTTTTTAATAGATAGAGTGATTCAAGAGGAAGGTTTATATATATAATACATGCACAATATAGCAGAGAAACACTGATAATTTTAGAGGTTTCTAATGTGATTATTACAATGTGATGCACCCGTGCGAAGCCGGGGCGGGTCGCTAGTCATTAATAAGATTCAGATCCAATTCTTTTAAAATTTGATAGATATATATTTTTATTTGCATTACTTACAGCACACAAATAACAACAGACATAGATAGACACACACAAAAAAGATTTTAATATAAAAGAATATACAAAATATACAAATATAAAAATAAAACCGTTTAAAAATGGGGAACACATAAAAGAAGTAATAAATTTAAAAGTTGAAAGTCTGTAAGAAATGTTGTTTCCAGATTTAATTGCTATGATGATGATAAAATATGTACAAGAGAATTAGAAAGAGAAGAAGAAAGAGAGAGGAAGAGAGATTGTAATATCTAATTTTAAAACCTAAAATTATCTATTTGGAAGAATAGTCAGAATAGATGCTTTAGATAACTTTTGCTAAATATAAGGCTAAATATTTTAAATCAATTACCTATAGCTTTTTTAATGCAGTCCAATTTATTTACAGTGCAAATAGATTCGCTGTCATTATCTGTAATAAAGTATAGTTTCAAACATGTTACATATACAATGAATTTATATATATTCAAATCCAATTTCTATATTACTGAAATAAAAGATGAGATTTTTAAATCTATTTATACGAGTATAAAAGAGGATGCTAATTGACTGACTGCCTTATATATCAACTCACGACTGAAACCGTTAAATCTAGAATCTTGAAATTTTGCAGATAGTTTCTATATATGGATGAATCATAAGAAAAGAATTAAAAAAACTGAACCCCTAAGAGGACAAAACGATGGTTAAAGTTTGTATGAAATTTTGTTAGTTTAGATGTTAGACTAATGAAATTTTAGAGAATAAGAAATTGAATAACATATGCGAGCAAAATCGCGGGGAAAGCTAGTTATTTATACAAAAGAAGAAAACTATTATGCAGATGAACCAGCCCTTCTTTGCTTTTTAAGAAGATTAAACCTGAGTCCTCAGGAATGGCAACGCATGGGGAGTATCATAGGTGAAACAGTATATTCTGTTATGTCCATACTACTGCTCATGTCTATAGGCGACGGTTACCACTGTCCATCAGGTGGGCCGTCAACTTATTTGCCATTCTAAGTTGCATAAAGAAAACACTTCCTATATAAACAACCCAGTCATAATCAATAACATGTACTTGAGTACCTATATCAGCATCATCATCATCACGTATCAGACATTGTCTATCCACTGCACACTTACAATCCTTCGAGTCTTGATTTGTACTAGAATATGTCACGTAGATAATATTACATTCGGTTATAATTCTTTTTAAGTTTATTACCTCATAACTCCGCTTGTTCTAAACTGATTTGAAATTTTTTTTTTATCTAAAAGGATATACTTACAGATTGGTCCCATATAATTTTATTTTTAATTTATTTTTAGTATTGTCACAATTGTAGTTGTTTTTTTTTATGGAACCCAATCTTTATTACTGAAAGTACTTAAAAAAAAGCATGCACAAATATTAGTATCTTGAAGATTGAATAAAAAGAAATATGCATACTTACGCGGCATATGAAACCAGACGCATCCACATTTTTCAAAAGTATAATTCGCTTGACACTCCAATCTGCAGTTTTTTGAAGTGTATATTTTGAAATATCGCAAATACCTTTCATGTTGGAAATAACACTGACGTCTGAAAAATAAAAAAATATATATAAACTACCACTGGTTATTGGATTAGAATTATCCATTAACTTTTCCGTGCCCAAACTGCAAATACGCTGAACTATTAACACTAGGCTCCGAGCAGTGGTCTAATAATTTCTCTGAAGATGCCTCGTTGCCTCGTTTAGAGAAATACGTGTCGCAAAACGTGCGGAAACAAAATGACAATTGGAGATCAGTCGGAGATTGATAGTTAATATGGAAGGTTTTGGAACTTCTGGTAGTAATAGTGATGACCAATCTTCGAGTGTTGGCAGTCATACACATATTATTGGTAGCAAAATTAAACAAAAAAATTTGATCCAATAACTAGTAATATGGAAATCTGCAAGATAACACATAGTTCAGTAAAATATATACAAAATAGCAATAATACTGATAACGTATGTGAGCATTATAACCATTTTATGTTCATGTTACTGTCCATGTCTATAGGCGACGGTTACTATTTTTCGTAATGTGGCCCATCAGCTTGTTTGTCATTATAAATTGCAATAAAAATATCATTATATATTTTGTCATACCTATGGTGCTAAATGAAAAGGGGAAAAGGATCTGTATAGCGTAATAACTAAAAGCAGAAATTATCTGTTTAAATAAGAAAGATCACTTATAACAACCATATTATATTTTATTTAACATTAGAGAGAAAGTAATATAAACAAAATGTATTTTAGCACAATGTGGACTCCATACATTAATATGAACATATAAAACCTACTCCAATAGTGCTTATTAATGACGATTACTGCTTTACATTAGGTGGGCCAAAAGTTTGTTTGCCATTCTGAGCACAATAAAAAATAACGTATATAAAATCGAAACAGCATGCAACATGTAGTTAATAACACCTGGATTGCAAATTCCATTGACTTTGCATTCCAGATCTTAAAGATACTTCTTTGCAAATAATTATATTACATTTTTCTAATAACGAACCTACGATATGTAACATTGTTAATTATAAATGTATTTCTGTTTCTCGATTGCTATCTATCGAGTGGTGGTCCTATTGAAAATTAGCACTGCAGCGCCACGATGCAGCTTAAACTAAGCGGGGATGGTCCCCAAATTTAGCTGCTATCACAGAATTATTATTTTAATCTATAAAGTTATCATTAATATTATTATGTTTTGTAGTTGAATAAATGATTTTATTATTATTATTAAATACCTATTCAAACAATATTATTTATAATATGTGGTACTATTCATCATCATCTCAACCATTATCTGTTGACTGCTAAACATAGGCCTCCCCCTTAAATTGCCATAAAGACGGTCCTGAGCCACCTGCATCCACTGACTCCCTGCAACGAATTTGAGGACGTCACTTTGTCTTGTAATATTATTATCTGGTACTTATTAGCTATCCAACAACGTGCAAAATAGTGTGATAAAAATAAATAATACATACACTTCGGGACTGTAACTTTTTAAACTATTAGAAGTACTGATCATGTTAAATTTTAGGGCCACAGATGAGACTTGGCCGGGCAGTGACGCGTAGTAATACAGCGATGATTGCGGGTGATCAGCTGGATGTTGCACGAAAATCTATGGAAGTGAGAAATTGTAACATTGTTATGAAAAAATAAAATATCACTTTACTGTGCGTATGTTTTTTTACAACACAAGGGGAAAACGAGCTTGCGGCTCACCTGATGGTATGTGACTACCGCCGCCCATGATCACCCACAACACTAATGTCATTGCAGGTGTGCTGCCGGCCTTTTAAAAAGGAATATGCTCTTTCCTTAAAGGTTATGATGTCGTACCGGTTTGGAAATACTGCTGCTGGAAGTTGATTCCAAAGAGTGGTTGTGCGTGGAAGAAAGTGCCTTGAAAAACGCACGGTGGAAGACCGCCGCTCGTCCAGATGGTTGGGATGAAATTTTAATTAATGACGGGGTGTACGGTGTTGAAAATCAGCAGCAGGTATCAATTCGAACAATTCCTCAGGGCACTCCCTAGGATAAATTCGGTAGAAGACGCACAGAGATGCAACATTTCTATGCAGTTTTAGTGGTCCTCCACATTGTGGATTGCACATTCACCAACGATGACTCTAACTCAGCGGTCTAATATAACTAGTGAAACCAATTTTATTTTTGAGTACTCATTTAATACAGTGTGACTGTATTAAATATATTTTAGTTTGCAGATGTCTTAGAACCCGTCTTTGATGAGAAATGTGGATTAGCTTGTACTCAGTGAGCGTATCTATCCTTAATATAATATATAAATATTATATTAAGGATAAATAATTATTATATTATTAAAAGTAACTATAAAGTTACTTTTAATAATATAATAATTATTTGACTACGAATTATATTACTTACTTTAGATCCTTTGAGGGCACCATTGCATGTTTCATCCGGATCTTGTTTGGGTGCTTGAAGAATAACGGTCAAATCGTAAATGGATCCTGAAATCTAGAAGATACTGCTATTATATTTATAATACGAGTAAAAACTATTATATTAGGTAAACATATGATACCCAGAGGTATGCACTTTGTGTAATCTAGATCTTCTATAGGCTCAAATGTTCGCTATGTAGTTTTTCGTATTCCTATTATTCTAGTTTCCATTTTAGTTCGTCGGGTGGTCTCGGCATAAAAAGGCCCATTCTTTCCTTTCTCATGGATGTTGTAAGAAGGAACTAAGATAATGTAACGGCCGAGGTTTAGGTAGCAACGTCCCTCTTAAAATATCACCAAATCCTAACTGCGGTTGCCGATCCGCCTACTAAGCATGGCGACTACTGACTTAAGGAGGAGGCCTATGCTCAACAAAGGACAATTAACAGCTGATGTGATGATTATTCTAGTTTAAAATACTTAAGTAAAGCATATGAATGTGTTGCATTTATTTATTTTACACTTTATTTACTCGTACGTAGGTACCCAAAGACTGAGTCTTGCAGGTAAAACTGAAGATGGTTAAGGTATAAAAGGTAATTACAGGTAAAAAATTGTAAATACTTTTAAATATTGAAATAGCAATTGATATTTGCAATACGCAACATATTAAGATAATTTACCACTCCACGCCGTGGATAAGGGCCTCGATTTTTTTGGTATCCTCCATCTAAACTCCAATATTTACTTGTTGTCGAAGCATCACTATAGTTATACTGTTTTTGTATACTGAAATAATCAAGTACAGTATTAAAATTTAGGTTTTACATTTAATCACATTTAGAAAAAATGAGTTTGTGTACAATATAAACAACAAAAATAACAATCTTGAATATACTAATGATAATACATGTTTTTTTTCAATGGCTGATAATAAAATGGCAACCCCGCCTGCGCTAATTGTATACGCTGACGAGGTATCAGCGAAGGATGATAGGCGAGAATGAAAGGGCAGGTTAGTAAGCCCACCGTGATGAATACACCTGGAATTCAGCACAATGGTTTCCAGGGGAACCACGTGGAGGTCAACCTGATAGGGTATATTGCTAGCAATGGTACTGATATTCCGCATTACTAACGGTCCCTTCCCACCTTATACATATGTTAGTGCGTGTTACATTTGATAGGAACGAAATTTTAATTTTCAATGAGAAATAACATCTTACTTTTTCTGACGAAATATTTCATTGGCCGCCAATGAATTGAAATTGAAACATACGCCTTGTTCAGTTAATACAGTAGAAAACATTTCGCTGCAGTCGATCGCTGGGACACCACGCCAAGCACAATGAAAAATGTAATCCGAAACTGGTGGAGACACCTGATGTTGATGAGATGTTGAATAATAAATAATAAGTCGCTAATCGAACTTATAAGTAAGGGCTCTTATTGACTTCAAAACTAGTAGATCATAATGTTAAAAAAAAAACTAAATGAAATTTTTAAATACAAGAATAAGTTAATATAGATTTCTTGTATGTAACTCCAAAGAGTCTTTATATTATTGAATAAAAAGTTAGTGAAGTAGTCAAACAGTAAGCAAACAATTGTCTAAAGAATGCAATGAAATATTACTTTTTTATGCCCAAGATGTCGTAAAAGGCAATTATTAAAAAAAGAAAAAAAAATTAAATACTGAAAGAGGAGTAAGACTTGAAGTGAAACCCTATTTGAAGCTTCTTATCCAGAGATACCTTATTATTTATCTTTTCTAAGGACGACCCTAAATTTACAAGTACAGTTTTATTAAATTCATATTTAAGTTACATAATATTATAATTTAAAAACTCAAAGGTACTGCTAAAATTAAATTTTATTCTATTTAAAAACATGACAATTCAAACTAATATTATAATCGTGCCTACGATCAAACTGTCTGTAATTACTCCTATCCATCCAAAGGTTGCCTGAAAGAGACAGCTTATAGCCCATTGTTTTCTCACTGCGATAAGTTCTTGTACTTGTTTGTATCTATAATAAGTTTACTATTGTAATCTTTTGGAAGAAACAATAAAGAGTATCTGTCTATCTATAAAAAGTTTTATTTTTTTTTTTATTTTTAATAGATAAACTCAGAAAGTACTTAACTAGTTTATTCATGAAACATTTTGATATATATAATATTATCGGCAAATTATATGAGCTATTTTTTTTTTGAATGAATGAATGGTTTATTTTCTCTTCACAAAAAGTAGAATAAAGTAACAACATGAGGTACAATTTAATATGAAGACCAATTTTGTGAGAGACTAGTGCTTGCGGTAGGTTTAGAAGAACCTGTGTTACAAATCACCAATGCCCCATCTCCATGGACTACACAAATACAAGGCAACCAATTAGTGTTATAATACACAGATCTATATTTTTCTATCTATCGACTAGTGTGAAACTGTGGTCACTAGTTAATTTATAATTTCCTAATAGTTTAATAACAATAATACCTTTAATATATTTTCAACAATTGTGGCATTACCCGTTTGCCTGTCTAGAGAAAACGTCGGGTACATCTGTTGCACCTCACAAATGAGGGCTATGTCTTGTGCTTTTTCCAACGCTTTCATAATGTCCACAGACAAATTTTTATATGAGTATCTGTAATAAAAAAATACACAAAATAAAGATGTTACAGTTATACAACTACTTGTCAATATATCTATTTAAATACATTATCGGGACTTTGCACGATACATTTTTTTACACGTACTTAGTGCCTATATACCTGCTTTTTTATTGCTGACGTTTCAACGTGGAACGTGAACGCACGGCGTCGTGATCACGACAAGACTGAAGTGAGCGGCGCCTTTGTATGGCAGCCCGCGTAATTTCTTCGGGTACCCTCACACTGTCACTATTATTATCTAAGTCCACGTCGAAACGTCGACAATAAAGAAGCAGGTTTGTAGGTACTATTTATCTGCAAAAAAATCTTTGTTGTAATCGCGCTAAGTCTTGATAGTGTATTTAAATATGTGTTAACAATGCAAAAGTTTAAAAATAACTATATACTTATTATTTTAATCGTTTTACATCGAATATCGTTTAGATTTTTGGGAGATTATTAAGGTGAGTGTGATTAGAATTAAAATATAAGGCACAAATTCGTGTTAAATGAAGCCTGCATATAAGTGAAGTGAGAGAAAAAAAGATTACTAGAATGAATGTATTAGTGTAAAAGCTTTACCTTTTTAACGGATTTCAAAAAGGAGAAAGAGTATTATCAAAGTTACTAAAGCAATTTCTTTCTGCGTTTAACGACAAATGTATGCGAGATGTGGTAATGAAATTATAAAAATACATATTAGAAATTAACAAGTCTATTTAAAACATATTTGAAAATATGCTTTTACAATGAAAATATGTGTAAGGAAAATTTTGGAGGGGCGGTCGTTTTAAATTTAGTGTGATTTTTACAAATTTTATCGTTTGTTTCTTGCTTAATTTAATTGATTTGACCCAAGCGAACAAACATGCCGTGTGGTCCTGACATAGAAAGGGCCATCCCTTCCTTTCCTGCAAGTATCGTAAGAGGCGAATAAGGGAACTTGGTCGAGACATTAGCAGCGTTTCTTTTAACACATCATTAAAGTCTAACTGCGGTTACCAATCCGCCTGCCAAGCGTGGCAACTACTGGCAAAACTCCTTTATGGAGGAGATCTTGGTTCAACAATGGATAGTCAACGGCTCATATGATTGATGATGATGAAACAAAATAATTATACATTGCATGTCGCAGTTTGTAATAAAAGAGTGGTTGGTGGTAATGGTGACATACTGTTCAATGTAAGAATTGTTCTCGTGGTTCAACATCGAGACTTCAGACGAATGATTATATACCGATGCCCGATTTTTTATGTCCGGACATATTGTCACAGACGGGAAGGGGACCTGCAATATATAAATTGAATTAATCACAGCATTACGATAATAATAATAATAATGTCTAAAAAAATATAATTGAAAAATATTTACGTGAATTTCCTTTTAGTAGATAGATACATTGATAAACTCTTCATTTGCATCAACACCTGAGTCCTCAGGAATGGCAACGCATGGGGGGGTATCATGGGCGAAACAGTATACTCTGTTATGTTCATGTTATTGTAATAATGATAGTTAATGATTACTAGAGGGAAAAGTTGTTTGCTTGGGTACCTCTGTCCCATTGATGATTCTGCCATGAAGCAGTTGTGTTTGCATGTTTGTGTTTTGGTTTGAAAGATGGGATATGGCAATGATATTACAAGGCACAGAAGCATAACATCTTAGTCCTCAGGAATGGTAACGCATGGGGGGTATCATATGCGAAACAGTATACTCTGATACGTCCATGGTACTGCTCATGTCTATAGGCGACGGTTACCACTTTCCATCAGGTGGGCCGTCAGCTTGTTTGTCATTTTAAGTTGCATAAAAAATAAAGACATTTCTCACCATTTCGACAGGCACGAATTTTTCACTGAAACTGACTATGACAGGACTCGTTTGCCATTTCATCCAAACATTGCGTATTAATAGAAAACACAGCGCCACGCTTAATATGAAGGTTAGCAGCCAGAACAATCTGGAAACAAAAACACATCGTGTGAAACAATAATCGATCTAAATTGTTTCATTTTATGGGTCAAAATTGAATGGTAACTTCGCTTGCATTCTGGATGTATACAGGCGAGGCAGTAGTGAGAGATAATAGGTGAGGATGAAAGAAAGTCAATTGGTCAATCGTGGTTTCCAGGACGAACCGCTTAGGTGTCGACTTGATGTGTTATCAATGATAATGGAATCATAATCTCGCCTGCTCTATCGATATACACTGACGGGGAGTGAGGGACAATAGGTGAGAATGAAACCAGCTCAGTTAGCCCATAGTGACGAAGTCCATAAGAATTTATCACGATGGTCTCCAACAGGAATCACGTAAAGGTCGACCTGATACGGTATATTGCTAGCAATGAGGCTGTTTGACCCTGTTACTGACAATCCCTATCTTCTGTTCTATTCACACATAATATTTATTTATAGACTGAAAAATAGATAAATAAATATATAATAATAGGTATGTAATAGGTAGGTATATATATTCCATTATTACAGATTTTTTTACAACACAGGGGGCAAACAAGCATGCGGCTCACTTGATGGTAAGTGACTACCGCCGCCCATGTTCACCCGTAACACCAACGGCATTGCAGGCGCGCTGCCGGCCTTTTAAAAAGGAATATGCTCTTTTCTCTTCTCAGAAGGTTATGTTGTCGTATCGATTCCGAAATACTGCTGCTGGATGTTGATTCCAAAGAGTGGTTGTGTGTGTGTTTTTTTTTTTTATACAACTTAGAATGGCAAACAAGCTGACGGCCCACCTGATGGAAAGTGGTAACCGTCGCCTATAGACATGAGCTGTAACCATGGACATAACAGAGTATACTGTTTCGCCCATGATACCCCCATGCGTTGCCATTCCTGAGGACTCAGGTGTTATTCCTCTGTACCCAGTAAATTCACGCCATATCCCACCCTTCAAAGCGAATACAGCCATGTAAATACAACTGCTTCACGGTAGAAACACGAATGGGACAGAGGTACCCAAGCAATCGACTTTTGTACAGTCTGCCTCTGGTACTTACTTCTCGATGACGCTAAGTCCATTCTGCGCTACATATCGCAGTCCGTGCAATGTCGTATTTTTCGCATAATCCAAAAATAGATCTTTCGCCAAGATTTTCTGTCTTTTTCTACGTTGTTTCCTTATAACAACTTTGGTGCTCAAATTGCGATGTTTTGGCCTAAAATTATACCAGTATTATTATTATACCAGCCAGTAACTGTCTACTGTTAAGTTTTTCTTTTTTTTTTTTTTAATCTTCACATCTTATTAATCTAAGGAAAACAGTATACACAGATGTAATAAATAATACTCATAAAAGTTCTTTATTTTTTTTTTATACGACTTAGAATGGCAAACAAGCTGACGGCCCACCTGATGGAAAGTGATAACCGTCGCCTATAGACATGAGCAGTATCATGGACATAACAGAGTATACTGTTTCGCCCATGATACCCCCCATGCGTTGCCATTCCTGAGGACTCAGGTGTTATTCCTCTGTACCCTGTAAATTCACGCCATATCCTATCCTTCAAACCGAAACACAGCCATGCAAACACAACTGCTTCACGGTAGAAACACGAATGGGACAGAGGTACCCAAGCAATCGACTTTTGTCCTAAATTACTGTCAATGGATAGGTAAAATTTCTAAGTCTAGTAATTTTAAATTTGGAATGCATATGTACGATTTATTTTAATCTAAACAACTGCTAAGGAAAAGCTTTTTTGGAAATTTCAACTTAAAAGAGGCAATACGACATCACGTGTGTAAAGTTACAGGCCAATACTTAGTATTCAAATATAATATAAAATTAAAGTTTTTAGAGATAGTCTTATTTTAAGGGACTTTAGTGTAAAAGGTACCTTGAAAATATTTTAAGCAATCGATACTTACTCCCTCTTTTTTTTTTTTTTTTTTTTTCTCTCTGGCAACACTGCCGATAACAGTCTTTGTCAGTTGGCTCTTATTTATTTATTGTTTTTAATTTATTACTTGTGAAATAACGATACTAGTGTATATAATCAGTGAGTTTTGGTCATAAGTAACGTCGATTGTTGTTGGTGTGCAAATCTGTGATTTCTTTGTGACAAAAATCTACGTTACTAAATTTGTGGGACCGCCAACTGTCAAAGTATTGGTAATTTACAATAGAAGTCTTGGATTTCTATTGACTCCTTTAATAATTAAATACAGTTATTACACTTCACTATTACTATATCCATTTACAAATAAACAATAATATTAAAGTCAAATATTCGATAGTGAAGATCGGTTGTTGTTGTTGAGAGGAAAAAAAAAAAACTACCCACTAACATAAAATATTATTGCAATAATTACAGCTCATAAAATTTATTTATTATCATATTGATAATATATTCCAAATAGCTGTGCGAAACTAAACTTATGTATTTTATTAAATAACAATACAATATTAGTAATCCATAGCCATTGCTAGATATCATATGACAAATTAAGACATATTTACTGTAGTGGTAATATATAAGATTAATTATTTTTTTTGTAACAGTATTGGTATTTAAAGTTTTTACTAACAACATTTATTTATTATTAAATTATTTATTGTATTATTTTATTGAAGGGAAATAGCGCACTTTCAACACTGTATTTCTTCTATTGAATAATATTCATTGTTGTCTTGTTTCGTAGATATTTAACATAATAATTAAAAATGATGTCCCGCAGAGCATGTGATCTTGATGCTAAGCTCAAGGTGACACTCTTAGAGTTAAAAAAATCCAATGAATTAAATAAGGCCTTATTACAGGAACGAGATGAAAGTGAGATTGAAATTAAGTTGATGTCTGATAAATATGTGGCTCTGAAGAATGACCTAGTGAAGATCAGTACAGACTTTGAAGTTCTACATATCGAAAAAGAAAAACTTCAAGAAATTGTAAATAAATATGATCTGTGCAGAGACACATATGAGTCAGCATTGCAGAAAATCACTCATCTAGAGCGGCACCTTGAGGAAGTTCAATCACAAAATAAATCTTTGTTGGATCACAGGCGGTTGAGTAGTTATAACGAGACCATGGATCTGTATACAGAAATGTTAAATACTACTAGTGATCAAACATCTGCTCTGCCCCTTGTGACCATAGATTTGACAAATACACCAAGCTCCTATAGTCCTAATAAAGTACCTATTCATAGTAGTAAGAAGTTAAAAAAATATGTAAAATTAAATAAATTTATTCGAAAATCAGAAAATTTAGTGAAAAGTCATAAAAAGTGTTTAAAATCAATTATTACTAGGAAGCAAAAAATTGACTTATCAATAGAATTAAATAATTGTAAAGAAAAAATATATAACAAAGATTTAGAAATAGATGAATTATCACAAAAAATTAAACTATTAGAGAACTCGTTGTCCAATTTATCTTTGAAATACGAATCAGCTAAGAATGAAATACATGAATATTCTGATCAGTTGGATAATTTAATAAAATTAGGTACCTACAACATGGAGCGGTTTGTTTCTCTTACGGATAGATGTCACTGTAATTCACCAGAGTCTGATAACTATATCCAACCGTCCCACCATAATCAGTTGAACATTGATATCTCATCCGTCACGGAGCCAGACGTTTCATGTTTACCCACACGAAACAGTACAAAAGTAAATAAATGCAGCACTGTACATAAAACCATCAGGAGAACAATTGTTTATTCAGATGAATTTGGCAAGGATTTAGGTAGTTTATTATCGAATATATAAATAATTGTTTTCCGGGATCAGGTATATATAAGATTATAAAAAATATAGTAAATGAAAAATATATATTCACACGACCCTAGTAATAGCGTTAGGGAATTGTTTGCATATGCGTAAATCTGATATAGTTAATTTAATAAAATCATTATATAATATAGTGGAGCTTGGTATAGGTAAAATATTATTATGCGCATTTCCCTACTCTCAATCCCTGACTAATGAACAGAATAAGTTCATTTATAGTATAAATAATTTAATTTATTCGATGACATATCATTGTAATGATATATTTTATTTTGAAAGTAACAAATTTGTTACAAATTATTATATGACGGGAGGTAATTTTTATCTTCCTAAAAAACAAAAAAAGACTATTGCTAGTTTACTAGCGTATAACATTTATGATCCCATTATAAGTAGTATAACGGGTTTAATTAGTAATATTAGTAATTATACTAATAATGTGACATGTGTTAATTTAAACTAACATCTACGACATTGGTTAAGCCACAGGATATGGTCATTATTCATCAAAATATTCGTGGCTTCTCCAGCAAAGAATTTGAATTAAGTCTTTTCTTAGAATCTAACAATGTACGGGTGTTATGTCTGACAGAACATTGGCTTAAACAATATGAAATAATTTGTCCTTTTGAACATTATAATATAGCTAGTTTTTTTGCTAGGAACAATGCCATTCATGGCGGGTCAATTATTATTTTAAAAAATGATGTAGAATATAAAAACCGTCAAGACATTGTAAATATTTCTATTGAGCAAACAATTGAACTATCTTGCGTAGAATTAGTTACTTGTATAATAATTTGCGTTTATCGTCCGCCATCGGCTTGTTTTGATTCTTTTGAACTGGCTATGGAGGAAGCATTGAGACGAGTCGCACGGAGGAATAAAACATTATTTGTATGTGGCGATTTTAATGTTGATTTATTATCGGAATGCTCAATAAGCTTAAGATTGATTAACTTATTTAAATCATTTAATTTGCACAATCTTTTTTTAGAACCCACTAGGGTCGCAGGAAATTCTGCCACTTGTATAGATAATGTTTTTTGTAATTGTGAAGTAAAGGTGAAAATGAATTTCGACTGTCTTGGATCTGATCATTACGGACAAAAAGTTATAATTGAAACTAAGGGATCCAAAGGGACTCAAACAATTACATGCAGACAAATAACACAAAAGAATTTGGCACGTTTTAAAAATAAAATTGAACATAAAATATCTAGTGTCATAGTACCTCAATATGACCCGGACATTGTATGTGAACATATTTTTAATTTAATTGAACATGAAGCTAGCAGTGAATTTAAAACAAAAACATTTTCAACTAGTGTAAAATCAAAGTTTTGTGACTGGGCCACGTTTGGTATTTATAAGTCTAGGGCTAATCTTTACGAACTTTACGAAAAACGAAGCTATATATCCGATCCCTTATTTCATGAACATGTAAAATCTTATTCGAAAATATTTAAAAAGGTTTGTCATACAGCTAAGTCTCTCTATTTAGGTAAAATAATAACTAAATCTAAAGATAAAATAAAAGCCACTTGGAAAGTAATAAATAGCGAAACTGGAAAAGTTAATTTTCAAAATAGCAAAATAGCTTTAAATATTAATAACAAATTGGTAAATTCCGACACAGAGGTCGCGCATACATTCGAATCTTATTTTACTAATATTCCATTAATTACGACACAGGCTCTAAAATCTTCCCCGTCTGCTGCTGAAACTTTACTAACAGACAATGTTAGCAAGTCATCAGCTGTATTTAACTTTAGACATACATCATCAGTAGAAATAATGAAAATATTCAAACAGCTTAATAATAAAAAAACAGAGGATCTATGGGGTATATCTGTTAAAATACTGGATAGTATAATGGAAATTATTGCGCCCTCTCTTGCTTTTATTTTCAATAAATGTATAGATGAAGGTAAATTTCCTAACATAATGAAAATTAGTAAAATCATACCGCTTTTTAAATCTGGAGATAGGAGTGACCCAATAAATTATAGACCTATATCCATACTCCCAGCACTCAGTAAAATTTTTGAAAAAATAATCCTTATGCAACTTGTCAGTTATTTCAATTTAAATAATTTAATCCACAATAGTCAATTCGGTTTTTCCAAAGGTCGTTCAACTACAGACGCAGGTGCAGAGTTGCTTAGACACGTATTTGCTGCATGGGAAACTAAAATGGATGTGATAGGTGTTTTTTGTGACCTTTCTAAGGCTTTTGATTGCGTTGATCATAATACATTGCTTAAAAAACTTGCTTTTTATGGCGTCAAAGACAATGCTTTAAATTTAATAAAATCTTATCTATCTGATAGAATACAGAAAGTGAAGATTAGCAACGCTACGTCTGACGGGTCACTTGTGCAAATGGGTGTACCTCAAGGATCTATTCTCGGTCCATTTTTATTCCTAGTTTACATTAATGATCTCCCATATGCCATGCAGGATAGATGCGGCATAGTATTGTTTGCAGACGATACTTCATTGATTTTTAAAGTTAATAGAATGACTAATAATTATGACGATGTAAATAGTGCTTTGCGGCGTCTCCTGCACTGGTTTACAACTAACAATCTTATGTTAAACGCTAAAAAAACAAAATGTGTTAATTTCTCTCTGTCTAAAAGTTTTAATACTAATTGCAATATTAAATTAAATGACGAATCTCTCGAATTTATAGAATCTACTGTCTTTCTAGGAATCACACTAGATAATAAAACACAATGGGGTGCACAAATTCAAAGCCTTGCAGCGAAACTAAGTTCAGCAGCTTTTGCCGTG